GTATACATAGGCTGACATTTATTCTAACTATACATTAGAAACTGGTATTCCAGCATGATTATAGCTTTTATATATCATTTCTGAAAAAAACATACATTGAAGGACTTTTACGAAAAAAACAATATCTATATGAAATAAAAATAAAATAACCAGGGGAAAATGTTCTGACACCGGATTTCGAACCCTGGGCCACTTAAGATTATTATACTATCGCCCTAACCGATTGAGCTTCCTGGCCGAAGGAAGTGCCTGCTAGGGTAACGTTCAAATCGATATTAAGGGGAGGTTACTATATTTACGAAAAACCATAACAATATGGGACAGGGATCTTTAAATTTATCGGTTTTGGAAATCTGCTTACCCGTGGCATCCACTTGACGACAAAAGTAAGAACAATTGAAACCCTATTGTGCTTTTTATTTTGTTTTCAATAGTTTTTGTTAAGTGTTTTATAAACAGTAAACTGTGTACTGTTTATGTCTTTGATATGAAAAACGTCTTTTCTTCAGGGTTTTTGAAATATGGTTTTCCATACGTGCTTATATTTCACAGAGGGTGCATTTATATTCACGGTGTGTGTGCTTATATTCACGCTTGGTGCATTTATATTCACGGTGTATGCGCTTATATCAACAGTGCGTGTATTTATATTCACGGCGTAGGCTCGCAAGATAGAACAGCGTAGAATGGTATACATAGGCTGACATTTATTCTAACTATACATTAGAAACTGGTATTCCAGCATGATTATAGCTTTTATATATCATTTCTGAAAAAAACATACATTGAAGGACTTTTACAAAAAAAACAATATCTATATAAAATAAAAATAAAATAACCAGGGGAAAATGTTCTGACACCGGATTTCGAACCCTGGGCCACTTAAGATTATTATACTATCGCCCTAACCGATTGAGCTTCCTGGCCGAAGTAACGTTCAAATCGATATTAAGGGGAGGTTACTATATTTACGAAAAACTATAACAATATGGGACAGGGATCTTTAAATTTATCGGTTTTGGAAATCTGCTTACCCGTGGCATCCACTTGACGACAAAAGTAAGAACAATTGAAACCCTATTGTGCTTTTTATTTTGTTTTCAATAGTTTTTGTTAAGTGTTTTATAAACAGTAAACTGTGTACTGTTTATGTCTTTGATATGAAAAACGTCTTTTCTTCAGGGTTTTTGAAATATGGTTTTCGATCATATCATGTTCAGAATGTATTTCAACCTTTTGCATAACAATTATTCAAAGCATAAGAATAGGGATTAATCTATCACATTTTTATGTTGATGGCGTTATGAACACTATTTCAATATAACGTATCATTGAGAAGCATATACATGTTTAACTAATCCAATGTGTGCTGCTATAGGTCTTCGAAATAGTTCATAACGGATCCCCGTATCACTGTCAAAACTACTTAATGCATTGAAAAATGTTTTTTTTTTCCGGCATAACTATGAACGTATTTATTTGTTATGTTACCTACCATGTAAGTGCTAAATTGTGTTCTTTTTTGAAAACTGAGTGCTACATGCTGTTCCTTTTTTTCTGAATATATTCCGAAAATTACACCTCCACGAAAAAGAAAAACATTCCTCATATATGTCTCAAGCTCAGTCTTCATTCAGTAGCTACGATATTTTAAAGACAAACGCTTGCTATAAGAATCCAAGTCCACGACATAGTTTCAAATTATTTTTACCATCTTGGACGCCAATCCCTTGCAATAAACTGCGCAATACAAGTAATCGTTTTGCTATCGCTGAATTACAGCCGGCAATCTTTTAATGCTACACAGATATTGAAGATTCCAATTGGCTTGTTTCCTGAGCTGTAACCGTATCAATTTGATTTTTCTGGGAAGGGTGATGATTTAAAAGAGTCACGGGGATGATATTCGTTTTATATTTCAAACAGGATCTTATCTCTCTTTTCAAGATATCTGTAAGGTGTCAAAGCTTAAGCCCTAGTCACACTAAAGACAGAAGGAGCCGGAATGTCGTTAGACTGAAATTTTGTGATAGATTACTGGATACTCGAGGTGTATTCTAAAATATCTGCCTGCATTCTGAGTGCATTCCAAATAATCTGTTCCATTCTTTAGGCCAGTCCTAATATTTTGCTCATGCTCAAAACTTTTGAGGTACATTCGTAGTGGAGAAATATCGAACAGCATTCGAAGTGTATTCTAACTGCATTCTGACTACATTCTTAATAGTCTTACGGCAATCTGACTTCATTCTAAATAGTCTTACGGCATTCCGACTACATTCTAAATAGTCTTTCGGCATTCTGATTACATTCCAAATAGTCTTACGGCATTCTGACAGCATTCTAAATAGTCTTACGGCATTCTGACTACATTCGAAATAGCCTTACGCATTCTGACTACATTCTTAATAGTCTTACGGCATTCTTACTACATTCTTAATAGTCTTACGGCATTCTGACTACATTCTAAATAGCCTTACGCATTCTGACTACATACTTAATAGTCTTACGGCATTCTGACTACATTCTAAATAGTCTTACGGCAATCTGACTTCATTCTAAATAGTCTTACGGCATTCCGACTACATTCTAAATAGCCTTACGCATTCTGACTACATACTTAATAGTCTTACGGCATTCTGACTACATTCTTAATAGTCTTACGTCAATCTGACTTCATTCTAAATAGTCTTACGGCATTCTGACTACATTCTTAATAATCTTACGGCAATCTGACTTCATTGTAAATAGTCTTACGGCATTCTGACTACATTCTAAATAGTCTTACGGCATTCTGACTACATTCTAAATAGCCTTACGCATTCTGACTACATACTTAATAGTCTTACGGCATTCTGACTACATTCTAAATAGTCTTACGGCATTCTGACTACATTCTAAATAGCCTTACGGCATTCTGACTACATTCTAAATAGTCTTACGGCATTCTGACTACATTCTAAATAGTCTTACGGCAATCTGACTTCATTCTAAATAGTCTTACGGCATTCTTACTACATTCTTAATAGTCTTACGTCATTCTGACTACATTCTTAATAGTCTTACGGCATTCTGACTACATTCTTAATAGTCTTACGGCATTCTGACTACATTCTAAATAGTCTTACGGCATTCTGACTACATTCTTAATAGTCTTTCGGCAATCTGACTTCATTCTAAATAGTCTTACGGTATTCTGACTACATTCTAAATAGTCTTACGGCAATCTGACTTCATTCTAAATAGTCTTACGGCATTCTGACTACATTCTTAATCGTCTTACGGCAATCTGACTTCATTCTAAATAGTCTTACGGCATTCTGACTACATTCTTAATAGTCTTACGGCATTCTGACTACATTCTTAATAGTCTTTCGGCAATCTGACTTCATACTAAATAGTCTTACGGTATTCTGACTACATTCTAAATAGTCTTATGGCAATCTGACTTCATTCTAAATAGTCTTACGGTATTCTGACTACATTCTAAATAGTCTTACGGCAATCTGACTTCGTTCTAAATAGTCTTACGGCATTCTGACTACATTCTTAATAGTCTTACGGCATTCTAACTACATTCTAAATAGTCTTACGGCATTCTGACAGCATTCTAAATAGTCTTACGGCATTCTGACTAAATTCTAAATAGTCTTACGGTATTCTGACTACATTCTTAATAGTCTTACGGCATTCTGGCTACATTCTAAATAGTCTTACGGCATTCTGACTGCAATCTAAATAGTCTTACGGCATTCTGACTACATTCTTAATCGTCTTACGGCAATCTGACTTCATTCTAAATAGTCTTACGGGATTCTGACTACATTCTAAATAGTCTTACGGCATGCTGACTGCAATCTAAATAGTCTTACGGCATTCTGACTACATTCTAAATAGTCTTACTGCATTCTGACTACATTCTAAATAGTCTTACGGCATTCTGACTGCAATCTAAATAGTCTTACGGCATTCTGACTACATTCGGAACATTTTGATTTCATTCGAAGGAGAACCCAAACGGTAATCTTCTGCAAACATTCGTATATCATTCGAGGTACCTTCCGACCAGACAGACTTTGGGTGGTATCCGGGCAATAATCCAACCGTATTCGTCAGGCAGTTTAAGTTCGTCCTAAATATTTCGACTGGATTCTAACAGCATTCTAACTATTCCTACTATGTTCCCTCTACATTTGAGCTGTATTCAAGGGCCAAGTTGAATTTCCCTCCCGAATGTGGCACGAATTTTATTATTTTTCTTTCCGGCTGGTACTTCCTAATTCCTGTTGATTCTGAATAAGTGTGACGGGGATTTTAAGAACTTGAAGAGGATAATGATAATAAATAATAATACACAACATTTGATATAAAGCGCCCTACCTAGCTAGAATAAGCCACTCTAAAGCGCTTTACAGTACATAGATATACAATTTATACAATGATACAATTAGCATATACATAAATCAATGCAGGAGCTGCCTTATCAGGCGCTAACTGCTAGTCCTATGCCACCTGGCTAATATCTCCCTGTGTGTGTATGCCTGAGTGTGTGCAGGAGATGTAATGTGTTCTGTTTGTAGTTGGATCGTGCTTCCAACGGTATCATTTATAGTGCCACCTCACTTGAATGCTACAGCACAGATGCTGCAACATCCGCCCTAGACCATTTTATACTCTACCTGGGTTGTTGGAGTTGTTTGGGCAGGAGAAAAACACTTTCTCTGAATATTCATGCGTACGACGACTTTGGGCATCGAACCCCGGCCCCTGGTGCAAGACCGGAGTGTTAACCACTCGACCAATCCGCCCATGATATTATCGTTTACCCTAGTGTAGTTTGTTACAAAAAATTAAATGATCCGTGTCGTGATGGCCGTAAAGCGCACGTGGGCTGTTACAATGTTTTATTATCGATTTATATGATATTTTACTTTTCGAGACACAAAGGCAGTGTGGGGCATTTGTGTATGGTAGCCTATTGGAGTACATCTGTACACGAGGGTGGTTTGTGATATATCTATACTGGCAGGTACTGGTGGAATATAGTCACTAGTTGTTTTCGATGAGTATTAATACATGTTTCCAAGATGACACTTCTGTAGGAGTCTCCACGTGACGTGAATATTGTCATACTGACCATGCAGTTGAAACGTAAGTATATTAGTTTATTTTAAAATTACCCAGTATTCCTCCATCCTCGATATCCAGGGGTTACGCTCACTTTCGCTCTCTGCATCCCTGGAATATGTCATGGCAAAGTTGAAGACTTGGTGTGCTACACATTGTGGACGAGCCTTTGATGTAATTCAAAAGAATCTCGCGGTCGCGTAATGGTAAAACTTACTGGCTTTGAAGTCAGGTGTCGCTCCTTTGCGATCTTGAAAGGACATGTATTAGCCTAGCGGTTGGTCAGTTTATTTTAACCCGAGAACAATCGAATAGCTAGACACGTGCCTCAATTTTGTTGACATATTCCAGGGGTGTAGCGAGCGAAAGTGAGCGTAGGTATTCTTTACAGAGAATTAAACATTACAATTATACTACAATCGTATCTAACAAAGTCAGTTAATATCGGTTATATGAAAGAAATTGCTCGATGTGGGCTGTCAGAACGTATGCGTGTTTTCATAGATGCATCTCTTTCAGGTACTCGACTTAGGCTGTCAGCTCACAAATTAAACATTGAATCTGGACGTTATGTTGGCACTGTTAGAACTAATAGATTATGTACAAAGTGTAAGCTTAACGACAAAGAAGACGAGTTTGATTTTGTTTTAGTTTGCACAAGATATACAGAATTAAGACAGAAGTATTTAAAATATTACTATAGATATAACCCTAATGTATATAAGCTTGTTCAATTACTTAATACACAGAATATTAAAATAATTATGTAATCTTGGAAAGTATCTGATAGCGGCAAATAAGCGCCAATCAGATATATGACAGTTTGTTTATGTGTATTGTTCATTCTCCTGTGACCAATGTGGCTTTTTGTACATATGTAAATATCCTGTTAATTATATGTTTCATTGATAGGTCGCAAGACTTAAAGCTAATAAAGAACTTGAACTTGAACCCCTGGATATCGGGGATGGTATTCCTCTTACTTTTGAAATTCATACATACATAATTAAGGGTTTTTACGCACCCCTCTTATAATTTAAGAATCATTTTGACCAATTTGGAATTCCATCATTTCTGCTCCTAGTGCAACGATGAATCCTGGAAGGACAAACCAATTGTGTGATGCTTTGTGATGCGTTTTTGCCATACTGTATCAACAACACACGTGGGGTTCGGTCATCTTTAGTTTATTTAATAAAGGACAGATTTATTTGTATACACAAAGTGTATAATCAAATGTTGGATTCTAATAGCCTTACTTTATTTGGGTGGTCGGGTGGTGCAGTGGATAGCGTACTTGCTTTTCACCAAGAAAAAGTGAGGAAGAGGTGTCAAAACAATTTGTTTTCGTCGTTTATTTCCCATTTCAGCTTATTTTCTTTTCGGCTAATGTCTTTTGGCATCTTTTTTTTGGATGGTAAATTGACTGTTATGTTTCGAAAATAAATCACCGCCAGAATTAAATGTTTATGAAACGTACTCAGATTGTGTGCTTCATCGTAGTTTACATATATCGTTTAAATATTGGTACATCTATAATACTTAAAATGCATGTATAAGTAGTACGATACATATTTTACAGTATTGTACAATACATAAAAGTCTTGTTTGACTTATAGTGTTAGTTTTGTTAATAGATATGTGATGGTTGGTTCTCACAAATGCAGTAATATAAGATAACGCCCTGTATCATCTATTTACAACATGTTAATCAATATGTATATCATAACATGTAATTATCTGCTTTTATAAGCTTTTTTAGGTCACCTGAGACAAAGTCTCAAGTGACCTATTGCGATCGCCTTTTGTCCAGCGTCTTCCGTCGTCCATCGTCCGTCGTGCGTCCGTAAACAATTTTCATTTTCGACTTCTTCTCCAAAACCCCTGAACCAATTTCAATGAAATTTTGCAGAAACCTTTCATGTCCAAAGCTCAACATAGATAGTGGCCGATTTGGTCCCCAGCCCCCAGGGGCCTGAGGGGCAGGGCCAAAAAGGGTCAAATTGGCCAAAAATGTAAAAACAAATCGTCTTCTCAAGACCCGGATATGGTAGAATCAAATACTCTTCATAGATGGAAGGGTCTTAAGGTGCTTTACCAACATTGTGAATTTTATGACCCTTGGGTCTCAAGTTTCCCCCTGTGGACGGAGTAAACTTTACTATAGTTTATATAGGGAAATCACATTTTGGACTAATATTTGTTTAATTTCCATTGGAAGTAATTCAATTTGGGTTAGCATTATAAATATTGGGTAGCAGTTTGATGGTATGCACATATGGACCCTGACTGACCCCCCCGGGGCTGATGGGTGGGGCCAAAAATTGTTGAATTGACTGAAATATCAAAAATCTTCTTCTCAAGACCCAGATATTGTAGAATCAAACACTCTTCATAGATGGAAGGGTCTTAAGGTACCCCCTGGGGAAGGAGGGGGGCTGGCAACATTTATTATGGTTTATAATGGCAAATGATGCTTTGAATATTACATGTTAATAACTTGATTGGAATTATAACCCTGAGTTGACAGTTTGATACTTTGAAAATTTTGAGCCAGCCCTACCCCCAAGGGCTGTAGGGTGGCGCCCAAAGGAGTCAGTGTGCTAAAGTTCTTCATTTTCCTTGTTTAGAATCAGAGTTGCTGGTTTCAAATACTTTTTAGTCTTAAATCTGTATGCTAGATATTGAATAAGGTGGTTTTATTGTTTTTTGTCACTTTGAATAATATTTCTGTTCTTGTTAAAAACAAAATCAACTCTCTGTATAAATATATCAGGTGACCGTTAAGGCCCATGGGCCTCTTGTTTTTAAATGCCTTGCTTTTTTTTATTTATTAGTTAACTTTTTAAAGAAATAATTTAATACATTTCAGCAGTAACTCTCTTTAATTCCTATTAAGTATTACCTGACTTGAAAATTTATCACTTTGAAAAAAATCATGATTTCTTAAAGTTTGACATTTCATGACACTGATCTGATAAAGATCAAAACATTAGGAAACCGATGTTTAGTTAGCTTTGTAAGTTAAAATGATGTCCATATTGCAACCCTTTACAACTGAATTCAAATATTGTGCACGACATACAAGATGCAAGATACAAGAAACTTTATTTAACGTCGCATACAGGTAAACAACGAACATTAGCTCTTGAGAGCTATTATTACGACAAACATATGTAAAATAACAATAACATATTATATTACAAGCAAAGGGAGACAATCACATATATTAATAAAAAAACACCCAGTGATAATCATCACAGAAAAAGAAAGTATACATATCCCAGGTTTCTAAGTACAAAGGCCCCCGGGATATATATATATATAAAAAAAACATGTATTAATTTAAAACTATGTTTCAATCTTGCGTTGCATGTTCCAGGATAATTAATGATAATTTGATGAGAAAAAGGACAAAAATAGGAAGGAAAAGTTCATTAAAAAATTCATATTTTTTTGGGAATTTTGAAAAAAAAAAAAGATTCTCGTTAAGCTAACAATTCTTCCACAAAATTGACCTAGCTATTTCAAGTGAGTTGATGCAATAATAGTTCATTCACCCATTGATTACATATGTGTACTATACAGGCTAACCTCCTTTTATGTTACATTTATATTTATTTCTCATTGTAAATTGGATTCATTGTTGAAAAAAACTGAAGCCGTAACGTGGCATGCAAAAGTCTTATATATATATAGTCCCTATTGTGTCGTTTTATATGCATGCTGACAATGTAACGTACACATTTATTAATCATGTTATGTGAAAGCATAGGAGTGATCAGACAGATAATGGTACATTTTGGAATTCTAAAAGCTAATATTTTTATAGGATACAGATATTGTTGATTTATTGTGACTGTTTAGATATAATGGACCTTATGATTTGTTTGTTAATTTCAGTCTTTTGTACAAGCACCGTTCTATGAAATAGAACAATGTGCAATCCATTAAGCTGAAAAATCAAAGACTGGTTAGCTTGACGCGTAGTTGATACACATTTTCAATGCATATTCTTCTAAAATATCTGATAATTGATCATTTATTCTATTTATTTATTCATTTATTCTAATTATTCATTTATTCTATTTTCTCTATATTTAATTATTTATTTATTTATTCATTCATTCATTTATTTATCTTCAGATGACCATTTTGATAATCATCTTAATTAAATTTGAAAATAAATATCTCGCGAATTCATTGGAAATCAAATATCGTGTGATTTTATTCGAAACAAATTTTGCAAGATACAAATGATTTTCAGTATAACTTTCACTTACATTTCAGATAACTCCATGGCTATATTGAAGATATTTCAATGGTATTACGTCACCTATTTTACACTGTCTTTACATTTTTTCTCCATTGGAGCGGACATGGAGAATGTACTACAGATACCAACATCTGTTTACGTGGAAGAAGCAAAATCATACAATACCTCACTTAACAAATTTGAACGGCTTGTTGGAAAAACAATTTTGGATGTCCAATACCAATTTTGGTTTAATGTTCGCCAAAGACAAATACAGCAACCCTCTACCGAAGAAAAAGTAACAGATATACAAATTGTACAAGAGCAGACCGGACCAATGGCTATTCATTTAGTATCTACATGTAATGATACTGATGTTGATCGTAAGACGAAATCAGGAAATGCTTTACTGCCTGTTAGCATCGAGTTGGAAACAGACGTCTGTCTAGGTACTATACTATCAGGTAACGAATCCAGCAACGTTTCTGTGGCTTTTGCCTCTACCAGACTTTGGGAAAGATTTGCCTCCGTGTTATGGAATAATGAAGACATGAACATAACAGACATCTCCTTTGTAACGTTAATATCGTCTGGAGGATTTGACGACAGACGTACAGTGACGTATCCGGAAGCAGTGACGGACCTGCATATAACGGTTTCCGGTAGGTGGATAAATTATATGCAATTTTGACAAATACACCTAATATCTTCTCCATCACTAGTATATACATTAATAAGGTTGTATGGTGTTCTGTGGTTACCATCTGTACAGCATGTGGCCGCAAAGGTTGACCCATTTACTCATAATATCGTATCCAAACTTGTTTACTCATCGAAATACGATTCATTTTCTTACATTATAGCATTATTTAAAGTTAATGGAGTCGTTTATGTTGGTTGTTGTTGTTGTTGTCATTATTTGTTGTTGTTGTTGTTTGTTGTTGCTGCTGTTATTTGTTGTTTGTTAATGTTGTTGTTGTTGTTATTTGTTATTTGTTGCTGTTTCTGCTAAAATGGATTATGTGAAAGAAACATGCTTTGTTTACAATTTAACAAGTTGCAATGATCAGTTAAAATTGTTAGCTAAATAAGTATATCAATTTTTGTGAGTATTAAGGTATGTGTGAAATCTTTGGGATTAGCAGTTAAGATCCAAAGTTTTATATATTTAGCACTGTAGGGTAATTCGCTCTTAGAAAATATTTTTCTTATAGGATGTGCAAATATAACGTATGTGCCTCATAGAAAGGACAGAGAACAAAATGGATCTACTGCCCTTATTGCTGTTAATAGTTTGTGTCTTTTTTCTCCTTTTTTTTTAATGCTGCCTTTATGTTCTTTTTCGTGGATTAGAATTATTTATAAATGAAATGTATGTATTTGACAACAGCAATGATACAAGTTATACCACAATTTTTTTTATTAGAGTAGTGAAGAATAAAAAAACAAAAAAAATCGAACTAAAATTCGATAGAACTAGTACATGGAAAAAAAGGCCAGGTGTTCCGGAGGGGTAAGCGTCTTCCACTTGATCGCCCAATTTATATTTATCATTCTTGTTGGTCCAGATTGAAGCGCACAGAGGGTCTTAATAATTAAGTAAATTGGAGTACCCGGATCGAACGCACGTTTGTCGGGCGGACAGCTCAATGCATTTTCACGTTCGATCGGGAAATCGAACCCCGGTCATTTTGGTTGAGGAGAGTCCGTTATACACCGCGTCATGCGGTCATCCAAACTAGCATACGTTGAGATTAAATCAACACATGAACAACAAGCCGACTTTACTTATCTTTTGTGATATGGTGTTAATTATGTCGATGATATTTTGAAGATTGACTTATGTATTCATACGATATGAAATCGAGAAGACATTTTGTAAAATGCTGTCTTATTAATATACAGGTCGATGAATCTAGGCGTAGAATGGATGGCACACTTCACTAAGGCGACTGGGGTTCGGTTTCCCGATCGGACGTGAAAATGTATGGGGTCATCTGTCCGATCACGTGGTGGGTTTTTTTCATGGTACTCTGGTTTCCTCACACTTTGTCAGTAATACAGTATCAAATCCACCATTACAACAACCGAACTGCTCGTTACCGATGTCGTGTTTGGACAGCGCAGGTGTAATGCTACGGATACGGGACACAAATTAACGTCTTGTAAATCGCTATACAGTTGTCGGAAAACATGTACATAATTGTATATCCACCTTGTAACTGTCAAAACTTACTAAAAAATTGTTTTTGAAATTTGATGCACATTTATATATGTGATCAATAAACTGAAATTATTTAGCATATAAAAGCTTTCCACTGCAAATTTGATGCATATCTATATATGTGATCAATAAACTGAAATTATTTAGCATATAAAAGCTTTCCACTGCCCACGTCGCGCACCATGGTGATGAAACCTATTGGAGGGGGTTAGGGAACGTAGTTACTATATAATGTGCGCTGTCATCCGAGCCATCAAGAGATTGATATAAGTTGTTTCATTGTTGTTGAAAAATGAATAAAGTCTAATTTTGATTACTAAACGTAGAGTTCAGGTATGAATATTATTACAAAAAGCAGTTCTGTAAAAGTGGAATTTTTCCCGGTGTGGAAATGTTTGTGTGTTTTGCGTTGAGCAAATTAGCGCGAAAACATATCAGCACGGGAATATTTATTAACATATTTTATGAATTATATATAAATACAAATATGGATTTAAGAATTATTGCCAACGCGGAAATGTCTACAAGCGTAACTTTCCATGAAAAATGCATAAGGAGTATTAAGAAAATCGTGTTACTTATAATTGATTTGTTCCGTTTTGGCATAACTATTCATGAACGACGATTTAATGACTGTAAATGTGAATATGTATATGTATATGTTGGCAAGAAAGCATTACAGTCGTGAGGTTTTCCAATTCGCAAATTATTATCAAGACCTACATAAAATCCCTCTGTAAATATTAGCAAGCTGAAGAAGACAACAGGAGACGAAAAGCAGTTATCTTTATTGTCTCCGATTAGATATAATTGGCAGCACATTTACAGCACCGGAAATGTTCACGTGTGGAAATGTTTTTGCGTTAAGACCCAATAAACTGATCGCGGTGTAGATAATTTTGCGTTGAACATATTTCAGTAATTCAGATATATTCGATATACATGCATCTGTAATCTATTATAAATATTCGCGAGTTGATATTTCCGCGCTAATTCACGCCAAAAACAGACGAACATATCCACACCGATCTAGTAGCCACAGCTCGACTGATATCACGGAAGTGTGTATGTTATAAATGTATATGGAGTTGTTTTTTTAACGCATTCGCGAATTTCGGGAATTAAAGCCCTCATTAATATTAGCAACTATACGGTATATCAGGCAGTTTATACAAAATCAATACTTTTGGTTACGTCACGGCAAATTGTGTTCACACATTGTGCACTTTGCATTTGCACTGACTATTGAACAAAATGGGAAAATAGATTCCAAACAATCGACATTATATATTCATGATTTTGTGATTACTGTTTTGGTCTGCCGTCAATAGAAAAGGACAGATAGATATGATTTATTAAAGTCATAGTGAATCACAAATATCAATATTGCCTTGAATTATTTAACAAACAATTGCGAGTATTATACAATTGGCATTGTCTACCCTGGTCACGTTGGCTTTCTAGCGTAAATTCCGTAATTTTGTTTTTCTATGTTGATTCGTCTGTGCGTGCCAAAAGATAAAAGATTATGTGCAGGATATCTCGTTAACTCATTAACTCATTAAATCATTAACGATCCCCGTACCATTGGCAATACGTGTAACAACTGACGTATATGTAACGGTATTACGGGCATGACTATAGCTTTGATAAATGCTTGTATAAAGAAAACTATAGCTTGCAGATATCTTTTATAAAAACAAAACACCACAATGAAGATGAAATAAACAATGATAATCACCAACAGTGTAAAACTCCAACAGGGCTTGACAGGAATTCGAACAATGAACTAGTAGATAATCATAGTATAACTTATTGAGGTACCCGGTGAACGACAAGAACACAGCGCTGTGGGACAAGGTTCCTTACCGTTTTGTTAGCTCTAAAACCCTGGTCACCGTGATCAGTTTTTAGGTTTATAACGCGAAAAGTTCCACACCGTGATTAATTAAAAGGGTAATAATGCGAAAACTTCTACACCGTGATTAGGTAAAAGAGTAATAACGCGAAAAATTTAGCACCGGGATTAGTTAAAAGGGTCATAACGCGAAAAATTCCATAAGCGCAAATGCATAGAAATATGAAGAATATAGCATTTCTTATAGTGATTTGTCAACTTCTGGTATAAACATTGATAAACGACGCTTTGACAATGACAGTAAATTTATGAATTAATATATGACGACAAAAAACCACAACAGTCTTGAGGTTTTCCAATTTGCGAATTACTATCAAGACCTATATAAAATCCCCCCTGTAATATAAGCAAGCTGAAGAGGAAAACAGGATGTGAAACGCAGTAATCCTTATTGTCTCCAATTAGATATAATTGGCAGCACATTTACTGTAACATACTGTAGTACCAGACATTTTCGCGTGTGGAAATGTTTGCGTTAAGATCAAATAAACCGATCGCGGTGTGGACATTTTTGCGTTGACAATATTTCTTAATTTCAAAATATATTCAATTTATCTGTAATTTATTAAACATATTCGCGAGTGGATATATTCGCGCTAATTCACACAAAAAAACACACGAACATATCCAAACACCTCAAAAAAACAGTATCTTTTTCTTTGCTTTTTTTCCCATGAGAACGTTAGTAGAGCCAGTTGATGACAAAAGGATAATAATTGATTATGAGAAAGATACGTTGAAGGAAGCTATATAATGTATACTTGATACCCTAAAGAGAATGCCAAACTAATATAGAATATAACCCCATATTAACAATATCCCTTTGGGTGCATGGCATGCTGACTCTTCCTATTTCAACTTTGTTTTTTTGTGAGGCTGTATGCTACTCTTTCCTTTTATTGTCTGTGTTAGCGGTTCCTGCTTTTCATCTTCTCGTTTTGATTTCGTTTCAATATTGTGATGTTACTGTACGTACTATTGTAAAAGTTTTGCACCACAATTCCAGCAAGTCAACATGAACAAACTTATGCGTTGACAACTGTCTTGATGTAACGAAAATAAAAGAAGGGTGCTGTTTGTTGTGGGGTAAGCTGGAGGCGTCTGGGGGAACTTATGTCAATATCGTTTTTATTGAAATCGTCCACTGTATAGTTGTTAAATTTCGTGGGGTTAAAATTTCGCGATTTTATGTCCGGAACGTTTTCGTGGGGGTTTTATTATGCGAATCACAATTTCTGTAAATCTCGTTTTCGGATTTTAATTTATTTATTTGTAAATTAACTGTTGACTTTTGAATAAAGTGCACCTCTATCAAAATAATATTTTGACCTAGTAGCCTACATATCATGAAAGTGCGAAGTGTAGAAGTTATGGCGACGATAGCAAAATATTCACGAAGGTTTTAATTTCACGAATTTTAACGCATTCGCATAATTCGCGATATTAAAACCCCCGTGAATATTAGCAACTATACAGTTTATTAGGCAGTTTATATAAAATCAATACTTTTGGTTACGTCACAACTAATTGTAAACTTTGCTTTTGCACTGACTATAGTCTTAGATTGGGATTCGTTTCGTATCGATTTTGTCCTTTTATGCTGATGCCGGGCGCGCCTCAGATTATATTACACGTTTGTGAGCAAAATGAGAAAATGGGTTCCAAACAATCGAAATTATACATTCTTGAATTTGTGATTACTGTTTTGGTCTGCCGTCAGTAGTAAAGGACAGATAGATATACATTGTTAAAGTTATAGTGAATCACAAATATCAATATTGCCTTGAATTATTAAACAAACAATTGCGAGTGTTATGCAATTGGCATTGTCTACCCTGGTCACGTTTGCTTTCTAGTGTAAATTCCGTAATTTTGTTTTTCAATGTTGATTCGTTTGTGCGTGAATTTGTGTGTCAAAAGAGAAAAGATTGCGTGCAGGATATCTCATTAACGCTGTCACCCTAGTAAAATACTAGCTGCTTCCAACCGACTCGGCTAGGGAGATTTTCTCATTAGATCATTCGGTAGAGCGTAAGACTAGCAAGCCAGAGGTCCCGGGTTCGACTCCTAGCGGAAGCATTGAACAAACTAATGACCTCTGTTACACACCTTAAAGATCACTGTACAACAGCCAATACCTGTAATAACTGCCAATACCTGTAATAACTGCCAATACCTGTAATAACTGACATTTTCCGGCTTAACTATAGCTTTGATAAATGCTTTGTGTCAAGAAAACTCAAGCTTGCGAATCTTTAACAAAACAATAACGAAGATGAAATTGACAATAATGATCAATAATAGTGTTCTGAGTGTAAAAATCCAGCGGGGCTAGACCAGGATTCGAACCCTGTTAACTCTAGATCATGGTACTATCGCACTATCCAACTGAGCTATTCGGTTAATTCAAAACACAGCGCATTGGGCCAATGATCCTTAACTTTTGTGCGCTCTAAAGTCCTGGTGACCGTTGTACGTCTTTTGATTCATTTAGAAACGGTTACCCTGTAATGCGGAACACATCTTGCGATCCTCTCGTTTCGAAGTCGTTTTCGTTCATTCGTTGACTTTGAGGACTGAATGGTGTCCTTGTGTGTTGTGTGGGGTGATGCAATGGTACTTTTTTAATGATCTTCTCCATTTAAATAAGGAGTTGTAAGCTTAATGCAAAATAAAATATTCCAGGAAAAAATTGAGCCAAAATAATTATCCTGCAGGGAAAAAGAAAACCGAAACAACAACAACACCATTACTCAAAATCGATAAAACCTGGGCAAACTATGAGCAAAAGAAATATTTTCATAGATACTCTTGTAAATAAGCCTAGGACCAGGTGTTCCGGAGAGGTAAGCGTCTGCTGCTTTAAAGGCGACACCCGTCATGTAAATCTAGGTTATATTATACAAATGTCACGTCCTCCAACCGAGAGGTGGGGAAGTGACAACAGAACAGAACGACAAGACACAATAATGAACATAAAATATAAATCGACGTTCATACAAACAGGAAAATAGCATATTTCCCTAATAGCATTATCGCGTCCATAAAATATATACAGTCTTCATCATCCTGCATAATTTGTAATTTTGTCCGTCAGCAGTCGACGTCTATCGCGGAGTCATGTTATTCGGAGCACTTAAAATTATGCGTGTCACTGGCCAATTGGCTTCTCTATTACTTGTCTGTACGTCTGGACGTTGTGCCGTTTATTGTCGTTATACAGCCATAATTAGATAGCTCAAAACTGGTAATTGATATTGCACTTTAAACAATCTGATCATTTTTTTTTTTTTATCAACACGTTCAAAATGATAAGATTAGTGCACTTACGGTTAATATGGCTGAATCGCTCTTAATGGCGACTTTATAAGTCTAACATATCCGACAACAGTAATGCATCGAAACAGCATTTCCCCAATTTATATATTGGGCTATATATCAATAGCGGCTATATTTAGATATAAGCACAGTGCCTGATGACCCGATGTTAAGTGTGCATGTTATATTTTCGGGAAACAAACCATTTTTATTGAAATTTGTTTCCTTCATTGTGAAATGTTATTTCTGTTTGGTCATTGTTTATGCTATTTAAAAGTTGTTAAAATGTTTTTTTCCACAGATACCCACAAACACCTAGTCAAACGCCTACATACAAACACACCCACACCCACAAAACCCAGACAAAACCCTACACACAAACACACCCTCATCCACAAACACAAACACAAAAACCTACACACAAACACACCCGCACCCACAAAACCCAGACAAAACCCTACACACAAACACACCCTCATCCACAAACACACACACAAAAACCTACACACAAACACACCCGCACACACAAACACCCAGAAAAAAGCCTACACACAAGCATACCCACACACGCAAACACCCAGACTAAAGCCCACACACAAACACACCCATACCCACCAACACCCCGACAAACACCTACACACAAACACACCAACAGCCACAAACACCCAGACATCAACCTACACACAAACACGCACAACCCACACACACACACCTACAAACACCCAGACAAACATCTATACACAAGCACACAATATAATCATCAATATTTATGTTTTATTTAGAACACTTTCTTTGACATAGTATGCAAGTATATACTTACCTAGCGCTACGAACAACAATTACATGTGCCTTGGTAACAAACCACAATAGACTCGCTTAGCCAATTAATCGTCCTCTGTGCTTGGAAATAGTTTCGACCATTGTTTGAATTCGCACACCTGTTGCGTTAAATTCTCATAACTTCATAATTCTTTGCAGTGTTGAATTTCTGTTGAAATAGATACAAATAAATCCGGTCAAATGTTTCTAATGTTACTTAACCGATCGACTAAGCACTAGTTGGAACGTATTTGCCTGAAATATTTCAATATAAGTTTTGCACATTTTGTTAACAGATCCGTCGCTTTACAGTACACAAGGAGTGGAATGGCAATTCTCAGCGTCAAACGTGACCTATGAAACAAGAGAACAATGTTCATCAGCCTGCTCAAAGGACCTTGAACCTGATGGTATAGTGGTCTTTTGTTGATTTGCTCATTTTTAAGATATCATTTTCGTTAACACAAACATGGAAATCCCCATTCCTCTGTCAAGATGCAGTAAATATACAGTATAACATTTATTCGGCATTACTTAAGTTCTAAAATATAAGCATTTGTCTTAATATCATGGGCATCATTGTAAACATCAGGATCTCTGTACCTCTGGAAAGATAAATAACAAGATTAATAATAAGATTAGCTTACACACCTATTAACTGTTAAAATAATTTTGAATGCAATAGGTTTTGTGTTATTCTAGTGTTGCAGTGTATCCTGTTATATGTATTTTGTATGATATAATGGTTTCTTTGCAACGTGTATGTAAAGTGAATGATTAAATATATCGAGTAAAATCGTTATATTTTTTCAATCCTTCAGGCCGGGTCATCTATTTCAACGGTACCAGTTTAGATATTACATCTCCAAGGATTATTGGGAGTTACTGGCGCTGTGTACTTAAAGTGAAATTTTATCTCCGAGACCAAGACATTGCCCTTATACTGAATGTCATACAGGATCAAAATGTGTGGACACATCGCGTCAAAACAACGAACAGGTAAGATTCTTTGATCACATGACTATCACATGACTATCACATAATTATCACATGCATACATTGAACGATTCTTTCCCTTCCATGCTTCTCTCTCCCTATGCAATTGTCTTCATATGACATTAGGTATTTCAAGGACGTCTAGACAAAAAGAACCCAAAATATCTAACAGATGCAAGGATAACCTAGGAATACGAATATCTGCCATAACAAAGTTTAATCCCCAACCTATTTCATTAGCAATATTTTCTGTAGTTTTGAATAAAACAAAAAGATATTGCTTTTATACTGAATATGATGAATAACAAGAAGTTGTGCACACATTACTTTAATCATATCATAGCTTCTGGTTTAAAACTTCCCGTGATTTGTTTTATATCAATATATATTATAGCCGAAATAAACTTACGTCTTTATATTTTGTGTTATAGGTGGACAGAATACATTGTTCCTATCGGACAAATCAACGGAATCTTCAAAGTGCAGATACAGTTTTACAGAATAAAGCAGATACGTTGGAAAAGAGGAAAATTACAGAATGCTGTATTTGAAAATTGCGATCTGTCATCAGGTATGCTTCTTTATCACTAAACTATGTTTATAACGCAAAAACTACTGACTATTTTAAATCTAAAAAAATGTCAGTGTTATATGAAAAGTTATCTCTTTTAGTATTGTCTCATTAGAATGGTACTTTCTATTCACTGCGAAGATTTGCGGTTTTTAGTTCAGAGACGGCGGAATAAGTGGTTGTTTTGGTATTCCGTCTTTGCGTATTGCAGAGTTATCTTCTCTTGAGAGCAGGTATTGATTGTTACTTCACTTGTTTGTGAGAGTAACGTCATCAATTTTGGAGAAAACGACGTAATTTTCTCGCACCAACCAATGACGTAACAATCAATCCCTGCTCACAAGAGAAGATAACTATGCAATACACAAAGACGGAATACAACATCGTCTAAACACAAGGAAGAAATCAAAAGAAACCTCAATAAAAACGAAAACAGTGAGAAACGTATGATTTTTGAAAATCCGGTCATAATTCAGCAATCGTTATTAATACCAGGCTGTTCTGCCTTCCCCGGTTTTTCAGTACATTCGGAGAAACAAGAACCTGGCCTTAGTAAGGATACATTTGTGTGCAGGACAGGAGTTATAATCAGGTCTGACCAACTGTGTGATTTCCATGACAACTGTTTCCATGGTGATGACGAAAGTGAAGAAATCTGTGGTACAGTAACGCTTTAATATCAATAAATAGAAACCAAGACATTTATTATTGAGAGATGTTCAATAAAAGTATAAAAATAATTAATTTCTGCTAATTTATTTGATTCGATTATGTTTTCTTTCTACTTTTTCGTGAAGTTTTTAAGTTACATTTGTGTACGTTTTACACATCTTTATCGTAATAAGTATTACTGAAATATTAACATTTCATGTATTGTCCTCGTTTAAGTATATTTAATATTATCAAGGTAAGGGAGTTTCTTATACTGTATAGTTAGTAATTTTCGCGGGATTTAATTTCATTATATTCGCGGTAACCAAATATAATACGAAAATTGAATACCAACCGAAGATTAATGCCATGAATATACAGAGATATAAAGAAAAGACCTGTTTCCTTTTTACTGCCAAATAATTGTGATAAAACAACACTTCAATATCATATTATTTTTTTATTTGGACAAAACCTTTGCAAAATGATTCCCCACGCAAAAATGAAATAAAACATCCTCTTGAGCGCAATATTATCTTAATTGAAATTCATTACCGCAAACTGATTGGGACAACCGCTAAATGTTAGCCCTTCGAAATTAAACAACGCATTAAAAAATAAAGTATAGACAATAACTTGCCCAAAAATCGTAATTTCATTTGAAAAATAAATCCGTTACATTTAGGAAATGGATTTTCACTTGGACTTTGCGATTTCGAAGAGATCACCAACTGCTCCTTGATCTTAAGAGATTACATGGAGAGCACGTCGACAGTCGAGGACGCTAATGTTACAGTGGCCTTAACAGACGGTACCGGCTCATTGAAAGGTAGGCAAGATTTTAAGCAAAAGACTTTACTAATTTTCCTTGAACCATATTCCGTCTTTGCGTATTCCAGAGTTATCTTCCCTTGTGAGCAGGTATTGATTGTTACGTCATTGGTTTGTGTGAGGAAATTACGTCGTTTTCTCAAAAAATGATGACGTTACTCTCACAAACAAATGACGTAACAATCAATACCTGTTCACAAGAGAAGATACCTCTGCAATACGCAAAGACGGAATACGGCGCGTGAAACACTTCTCTAAATTCTTTTATTTTCGCCACCAGGTATTTCGCAAGAATCTTGAGGTAATACTTTTGTTTTGTTTAAGTAAAGTCTCTTGTGTACAAACTCGAAAAAACGTTATAATGCAAACCAAAACATAAATGAGAATTCGTGACACCTGATCATTCTGATTCTAAAATCTTCCGTTTAAAGAATTACCTTTTCGCATATCTGGAAGTCACTTTTTTCGCGTGATACAATTTTTAGCCTTTATTCCCGAGGATATGCTTTAAACATTTAAATCTGCGAATTAAATTCATGAATATTTATTACTTCTGGTACCGCAATAACACACTCTTAATCGCGAGTTGTACTTTTCACGAATAACTCAACTGGGCACATAAAATAAGACACGCGAAAATATAGTGATTGCAGTTTCTCACAACACATCGTCAAAAATGATGCACAGCCATTGTTTACCTTTGGTAACCCTCGATGGTTAAATCAATGCTATTCAAAGATTTATATCAGGTTACAGAACTAGTGTTAAATAATAATTCTACCGGATTTTTTACCATGCTGCCATAATCTTCATAATATTATCTATTTTTTAATTCACAGGTCACGTCTTGGCTTTTGAAGAGCGTCAGAATGCCAAAAAAACAGGGTTTGTGACTGTTAATTTGACCCAGCCCGAAAGTTATTTGGCCAACAATAAATCATGTGTGGTAAGCCCATATGTCCAAATTTTAGATTCAATCGGGAGCCGTCGGCGGATTCCGTAAATGTGGGGGTTTTTTTCGTTTAAATCTGCGTAATAAAACTTACTCACGATTTATTTTACAATTGTCCTTGTTTGATATTGTTTTCAATACTTTTGAGTATCACATGAGTGTTATCAGTTTATGAATTACCATATCATAAAGTTATGAAATTCATACAATTTGTTTTTAATTACCTTCTTTGAGAGGCACTCTTCTGAACGTAGAATTATATGGTAATACTTATGTATCGTCGGGACCTTAGCGTGGCTAATTCTAGCTTGATAGAGCACTGTATCAAATGTCGTTTAATACTAAAAAGTGATTATATGTATTTATGTAGTGTTCAGGACATTTTCGCCATGATTTTGGGACGTCATATAATACTAACTTGAAAGAGCGCTTTTTCAAATGTCATTTATATGTAGTGTTCTAGCTAGATATCGTCTGCATGATATTGTGACGTCATTTAATTGTATGAAATGTGATGTTTGGATTTAATGAAGGTCACCTGTACGACCCTATTGATTGTTTAATTCTAGTACCTTCAAAAATAGAAATATGCCTGTTCGATAGACGAAGTACTTTCGGACTTCACATTGCTTTCTGCCAAATGTAGTACTTTCTTCTGTTCAACTTTTTAACAGTTAGCTTCTGATATAACAATTAGACTGTTTTTTTGGTGAATATGTGGTTATATGGACCTGAGAAAGTGAAATTGATATCGACTCGTCTCGGTCAAAATCATTTTCTCAGGTCCATACAACCACATATTCACCTCAACGTGAGGTCCATAATTTATTAATATGACAGCCAAAAACAGACGATATTATTCTTTAGTTTCAGGTAGATACATACTCGACAGTAAATGGTGGGCGTTTCCGTTTGATTGTTCACATAATCGATGCTGAGACTGAGGAGATCCTAAAAAAGGACGAAACAAATTTACCATTGTACGAGTGGCAAATATACCGGCAATTAATTCCGGATTTTTCTGAACGGTATGTTGAAAACACTGTAAATCAACTATATTTCACGGATATACATATACATTCGTATTTATGGATAAAGAAAAACGGTACTTCGTGTGGGTGTGGGTGTGGGTGTGTGTGGGGGGTATATAAAGATGAAATAAAATAAAAAATAAAATATGAACAAAAGCGTTCTGAAAGCCAATATGTTTTTGGGGGCTTTATGTCACATTACAAAGTTTACGTCATCAAACTGACGTCATAGTATCCAGTTAAGATGTTGCACTACCCATTCAACATAAAGTATTTAGTCTTTGTTCACGAATCGATTTGAAAAGCCTCCACAAACCACCCCTGGACGATGTCGTATTCCGTCTTTACGTATTGCAGAGTTGTTTTCTCTTGAGAGCAGGTATTGATTGTTACGTCATTGGTTTGTGTGAGAAAATTACGTCGTTTTCTCAAAAATTGATGACGTTACTCTCACAAACCAATGACGTAACAATCAATCCCTGCTCTCAAGAGAAGATAACTCTGCAATACGCAAAGACGGAATTACTTAGTCAATATGTCTTAGATGATTTCAAAATACCTAGACCTAATAACTTCGGGTTTAAGTCATATAAAATTGTCAATATCCTCAAAACTAATGTCACAATTACTTGTCGATATCTTTAAAATTGATGTCACAAAAACTTGTCAAAATGTCACACAACCAATTGCATATTTGCGATTTGACTTTAAATATCCCCATAACGCCCTTGGGTCGTGGTTACTTTATATCGACTGTCGCAGAAACAAAAATAGACCGTTTTAGATTTTGATATATTATAGCCATGTATGTACCTAGCTTTATTTGTTCATGGTAATTTTAGTTGTTTGGAGGATGTGGATCGACTTTAGGCTATTATAACACATGATACCATCATTGAGGATGACGTTTTTACCGAGGGCTGATCTTAAGGTCATAGGAGTGTATTGATAAACGGAAGTAGGAAGTACATCCCTAGTTGAAAATCCAATGTAGGGAGACAGTATCACAATTTCCGCATATTCTAATGTTTAATATTAAACTGATGAATATTGTATGTTTATTATTGACAGAACAGTGTTTTCTCTCAATATTAAAGTATTTCAAAGCAATGCAGGAATTAATTCAGTTTTTTTTTTTATCAATGAGCCAAATGTATCCATTTTTCTGTACTTCAGGAAACCGGCTATCTATTTCACTACTGTGGGTTTTTTTCAAGAAAGATAACTCTTACCTGCAATTACTATGTGCATATGGTTTTATTATAAAATGTCAATTTTTAATCGTATATAGATAATTTATTTGACATAATTTCAGGATTTATTAAATTGATATACATTAATGCAATACTAATCTATGGCAGTATCATTTTTATTGACATTATTTTGCAAAAGATTTTGTCATTCTTTTTTTTTTTTTAAAGTCACTCCTTTTTACATAAATTTCCATTTAAATTCCTTAAAATTATGACAACCTATATTTTTTTTGTGGCAGAAAATTTTCTTTACTTCAAAGCAATATAACTACAAAATTTGAAGAAATTCTAATGAGAAATGGCGACACAATCCTATTACCTTAACCTATTCAGCGTTTAATATCGCTCAAAACATTTAGAATTGAGGTCCAAACATTTTTAACCAAGTCTAAACCTAAATATGAATATAAAATGTTCAATATTATTTCAAATATGTCAATTTAGGTCCAAACATAGCTATATTGTATTGTATAACATTCTTAGGTTTAGATGATTTCTAGGACAGACGATAGGGGAAACATAGCAAATTATGTTTTAAAATCCTTCTTCTTCTGTAGGAATGAAAGGATTATACAAAATTGGTTCCCTTCACCAAAGGATGCTTCAGACCTAATATGGAACTAATCCTTTCATTCCTACAGAAGAAGAAGGATTTTAAAGAATTTGCTATATTTCCCCTATTGGGCCCCACCCCTCAGCCCCCAGGGGTGCTAGACCAACGGGTTAGACAAAATTGGTTCCCCTTTATCCAAGGATGCTCCTCAACAATTATGGACCGAATCCTTTTATTCTTACAGACGATAGGTTTATTGTAACACATTATTCTTGATTACTATTCTATTGTTGTGTTTAACTTTCAGAAATGTCTCCACATTCTACCTGGTCGTTTACACTGTGCTTTCAAACGGGTATTTCCTGGGATTCGACAACATCTATATATCATCCGAATGTATCGCAAAGGGTAAGCTTAATACATACTTACATTACTCATTGGTAGCTTGAAACTAACCAGTACTCCCTTAATTGTTGAAATTCATAATCTGATTCCGGGAAACTTTCGCCTAACGCTAGTTAAGTGCCTATTCGTCCAGTGTTCATTTTGCCCTTCATATTTCATAATCTGATTTCGGGAAACTTTCGCCTAACGCTAGTTGAGTGCCTATTCGTCCAGTGTTAGTTTTGCCCATTTATATTTCATAATCTGATTCCGGGAAACTTTCGCCTAACGCTAGTTAAGTGCCTATTCGTCCAGTGTCAAGTTTGCCCTTCATATTTCATAATCTGATTCCGGGAAACTTTCGCCTAACGCTAGTTAAGTGCCTATTCGCCCAGTGTTAGTTTTGCCCTTCATATTTGATTGCAATGTGTATTATGTATTTTAGAAATACTGGCTTTTATGATAAATTTTCCATCATTACCTTGGGCAAGAAAGGCGAGAGTTAAACTGCTGAGAAAATTCCCAGGTATACAGTTGTTCCGGAGAGTTATGCACTTCCTCCTCTGTTTCAACTTATTTTTAATAAATATGTATTTCCCCCATTTTAGCTCCCAGCATCAGCGAGGCATCGTAGAAGGACAAAACAGATGCGTAGTGTTTTGTAGCTTGTTATCCATTTTTGGCATGTGTGACATGCGTAAACCTTTTAAGATACACAATGGAAGAATTTACCTCTGAATTTTTAGTCTCAGAGGTTTGCCGTAGCTTTGACGGTCACATTGATCTTTTTGGAGTAGTGATAAGTTTATGATAATAGCACACTTAACTCATTAATTATCTAAAATTTTACCATTTTGGCATACTTTATCTACGATACATTCACATATGTCTGTCTAACGTCATCTCTTAGTATGTATGCCATCTTACATATGTCATATCATATAGAGTTACCTTGAAATATTTCTATTGGGTAGTTATTAATTTGTCCGAGTTTAATAAATGTTTTCATTCACCTTTACATTTCGAATTTGATATCAAATTCATAAAAATAAATATAAAAATAATCTTTCATAAAGCTATTTCGAGATTTCTTTATGCAGTATTCTTTTGGAAAATGCCTACCTCAAATATCTTTCCAGTCTTTGTTGACGTGTGGAATTCATATTACCATGGATACGGACCAACATTGAGAGTGCATCCGGTTTGTAACCGTTACTTTCGCGCAGGTTGATAATAATCAATATTTTCTTCTCGCGTGTTCATATCAGATATGCAATTCATACGTATTGGTTATAAAAAAAATGTAATTTTAAAAACGATAGTTTGATGGCAACAGTTGGATAACATGTATGCATAGGTCATTATTATATAGCTTGACAGCAACAGTAAACTGATGTGTGCAAGCACAATGCCACATGTAGCTCGCATTATAACGGAATGTTAAAAGCCCTAATAGCTATGAGAGAAAGAACTTCAAACAATTGAATTATGGCTGCATGTCTAAATTATTTATTTGGCAACATCCGTGCATTTTCTGATTAACAACAGCTTTGCTGATCGTGTGGGTCGATCGTTATCACGAAATGTGACATATTTCAAAACTTATACCTTTTGGGAATTGCATGTAATTGAAAGAGAAACCGGAGAACTTAACATTGATATTGAAATCGAAACCATTTTTCAACTAAAATATTCATGTTTGATTTTTCGAATCGTGCGTCATAATCTTTCTAGAAATCAATTACTTACGTCAAACTTCATAAATGTCAGAGGTAAAAACATGCAGACGATTAATTATTCTACCACGTTTGCGAGGTAACGACATTTTTCATTGGTTACTAACCGTATATTCGAAAGACAAAATAAGATTATCTAGATCACCTAGGCTTTTGGACTCTGAGACAGACAATAAAAAGTAATTTAATTATACCCCCGCAACGAAGTTAGGGGTGGGGGGTGGGGTGTATACTGGAATCACCCTGTTTGGATGTCTGGATGTCGTCCGCAGTAACTTGTCCGGAAAAACTCCTCCTTAATTAACAGGTGGATTCCATTGAAACTTTGCATGAATGATCCGTATCTTATGTAGTTGTGCACCGGCATTTTAATTTTGGATTTCGACCCTTTTTGATGGAGTTATGTCCCTTTGTGCGAAAAAGTTGTAGCGGGGTTATCAGTCAGCCATCCTTGCGACAGATTTTATTTGGTAAAATGGATTTTATCAACTTAAGTTTGTATAAATATCAATAGACTTGCTCCCTCTGTTACTTTTTATTGATAAATTATCTAAGTCAGCTTCATCTTCTAAGATTGAGTATCACTATTTAGATAGTTAGATCATTTTGTTATAGTTACCATCGTATGGCATTGCCACTAAATAACCCTACCAAATTCAGTTGGCATTCATGTCGGCTATGAATGCCATGGACCGATTGTTGACGTCATCATTATTACGACGTCATAATTATCGCGTTGGATACCACTGACCCTCCCTGGGCGTTGGCTGTTCTATTCCTTGAACAAGCATACACGATACATACATTTAAACTCAATGTTGAATAATAGTAATTGAATTTTCTATGAGATGAACAGACTCCAAAAATGTCAATTCTCTGGAACTGATTTGAGAGAGAAACCGGAGTTTACGATTATATTGAAATCCAAATAATTACAGATGATTACAGTTTTCAGATAAATATTCATGCATGATTTCCTAAGATGAAGTCAAATCAGTTCAAGACGATTATGCCTTAAAACTGACGTTTATTCGATGACAAATACCATTTCAACTGTTATTTTTCGCTGAAATTGTTCCCGTGTAACGTTATGTCATACATTTCTGAGAAAAGAGGATGTATAATTCCAATTCAATAGATTTAAGTTTTATAACAAAAGGATCTCACAACAGATAAAGACTAAGTTTGTTTTGAACACAAACAGAAATTGAAAACAAATTTTGCGAGATTTCGAAAACGTCTATTTCTACAGATACGCCGGCGACGTTCTCAAGAGAAATCCCAGAGGAGAGCAACGTGGTCATGATAGTAACAGTTAGCTGTGCATCAATGGGGTTCGTGTGGATTTCGATATTGCTCCGTAGGTGTTATTGCTGTAAATCTCTTTATTTTCGTGAGAGATTGATTTATTGCTGTTAATCATTTTATTTTTGCGAGAGATTAATTTGATGTTTTTTATTGAGGAGATTGATTTTGCGTTTTCATGATAAGCGACACAGTATTACAGTATTGCTTCGTTAGTTTTTTGCTGCAAATCATTTAGTGAGTGATTTTAGCTTCGTGCTAATTAGTTAGGTGGCCAAGTCCTGAATATAAATAATTGTAAAGTTAATAGTATTTGTATGAGTAAAATCTGTGTTGAAAACAATATCATCAATCGACAATTCAAGTATCCATGAAAAAAACCTTAATGACCCTTATCCACTGCACAGGTAGCGTAGAGGCTTAGAGCGACAGTACAACAATTTGAAGTCAATGGTTCGAATCCCAGTTAGCCAAGATGCGTTTTACACTCAAAACACTGTTGCTTTTTTATTTTATTTTTTATGAAAGTCCCGGAACGTAGTGTGTTATATAGAAATGGTTTATCATAGCTATAGTCATGTCGGAAAAATCAGTTTCCAATACGTAGTTACAAGTTTTTTCAGTGGTACATGGATCTTTTAGTGCAGGGTCCGCGAAATTAAGTGAACGCAAAAATATGGTAATTTATAGTACAAATGAAAACTTACAGAGCATTTCTATCTAGTTTGTTTATTTTCGTTCATTACATCCTTGGTAACATAACGCTTTGGTGTTATGTGATATCTGCGTGTTTTTCGATCACATTGAAGCTGAGGATGTGAAAATTTGACAGAATAAATGTGAACAGTGATAACTGTAACGAAAACAAACAAGTATTTAAAAAAACAAAAAAACAGTCAGTGACTGCTTGATTTATAAATTTATACAGAAATAGTAACATTGTGTTTCTCATTATTTTCAAAGATTGAAGCATTCTTACATAGTTTTGTTTCCCTCCATATAGTAATGTACATGAGATACACCAAAATACCTCAAACTGGGAAGTCGAGGAAAAGACTTTCACTTTTCGGAGCGCGATCGAGATCAGTAAAGGGTGTGCCAGATTCCGCTCCCTTGTTGAGGCGACTGAATGAGAACCTTTGGCAGGATCACCCGAACTATCACATGTATAAACAGATACTGACCCAGGATCTCAGCGACGACATCAAGAATCTATCCAGATACAAACTCAAGTTGACCAAGTATACAACATATTTGATTTTCTCTCTCTCTCTTCTTTTTTTTTTTTTTAAGTATTACTTTTGCATAATTACGGCATACAGTGATACTTGTTTCGCAGATGACATTTCTTCCGTTCGTTCATTTTTTCCATTTCATTCATTACATTTGTTTCCTTCATCCCATCCATCTATTCATTGTATTTGTTCAGTATCATTCGCAGATTCTTCCTTTTTTTTTTTTTTGGCTAAATTGTTCGCTTTTTTCCTTTTTGTTCAATTGCACATTTCATTTCATCAACAATTCAATCATTTCCTTCCTAAAGTATCTGATTTTGTTCATGCCGTGAGTTTCTTCTTTTCCCCTTAAGGTCATTTTATAATTTGTTCCATGTTTACATAAAGGATCAATTGAAACAATAGTATAACTTATTTATTTTGTACATTTTAATGGGAATTATAAACATAACATAAGCAATAATAAGTTTACGCATTACATAGCATTAATCTAGATTCTTTGAAAATTTATTGTTTGATTAACGATTTAACAATCATATTAAATTATATATCAGAGAAAGCGAGCTGATTTTGGACATATTCAAGTTAACCCACAATATACTTTAAACAAACATATCTAAAACTTGATGTCAGAAATTGCTGATCTTCCTTCATCCAATTGCCATTCATCAGTTACCTCCCTTACCTCTCTTAGTGCCATTTCCTCCCGCAAGGTTGCGTTCTTCGTATGTTCGAATGGAAGCTTAGCGGAGAGTAGAAAAGTTGTGACAGGCAATCTAGTCCAAACAAATTAACGGGACAGATAATAGTTAATCCGACAATTCGTATTCCGGATACTTTTTAAAACTAATTTCGAAATATGTGTATTTATCAATATTTAAGATAACAGTGAACATATGTTCGTGTATTATGAAGGAATATATAACAAAATTAAAACAAATGGTTGAAGAAATTGTAATGGGTGCCGCTTCAGGAACTTATAATATTATAATATGGTTAAAACGAAGTTATTTACGTTCTGCTGTAAACGTTCAACAACATTTAGAACTACTCACAATAAAAAATAGATTATTAAACGCCTGCTAAAAAGGTTGTTAAAATTATTTCAAATATTTCTTTCGATTTTCTTCATGATATTTTGTATTTACTACAGAGTGCTAGGAAGTGGTGCGTTCGGAGAGGTGCTGCAAGGACAGCTTATCAGAGGAGTCATTTTCAAACACGTGGCAGTAAAGGTAAATATTTGCATTGCTAGTGCTGCCTCTTGTATTGTTTGGTGTAGTCATTTTCACAATATTTAAATCATTTTGTTATTGGTTGAAGATTTTAAAAACTTTGAAATAATGTCGAGAAAAACGTGTCAAATAAATAATCAGGATTTGCAAAATATTAAAAACTTAACTTTATTCTTGAAGGTGTATATGTTTCTTAAAGATTCCTGTCCCACTGTCGGTTAAACACCGCAGAAATTCATTCTGGCGTTTTTGTACCAATTGTAACCTCTTTTTGGATTCGTTTTGAAAATAACTGTCGTTGAACTGGGCTTCAATGCTACAGTTGAATAGGAAGTGTTGTTGGTAGGACTCATTCACCCCTGAAGGCACATTTGAACTCTTCCAATTCAAAGGTTGGAATACTTCATTATGAAATTTCAGGGGTGAATGAGTTAAGGGTCCTAGATGGTCTCGTTGTTCTTTTTACATTCAAAGCTCAGGTGTTGCTTGTTTGTGCTTCTTTCAATTTAATTTTATATAAAAAAGCATGAAAGTTCCGCATGGTATGCCTTTCCTTTCTAGAAACCATTTACCAAAGTTATTCCGTCTTTGCAGAGTTATCTTCTCTTGGGAGCGGGTATTGATTGTTACGTCATTGGTTTGAGAGAGTAACGTCATTAATTTTTGAGAAAACGACGACTTTTTTTCACACAAACCAATGACGTAACAATCAATACCTGCTCACAAGAGAAGACAACTCTGCGATATGCAAAGACGGAATAGACAGACCATAAACTGGTTTTTCTGCACACTATAATATTTTTGTGTAGGGGTATATGTCTTCTTTATAAAAACGTATGGGTATGTGAGTTGATATCTGGTATGCTGGGGTATGTGAGTTGATATCTGTTATGCCTGGGTATGTGAGTTGATATCTGTTATGCTTGGGTATGTTAGTTGATATCTGTTATGCCTGGGTATGTGAGTTGATATCTGTTATGCTTGGGTATGTGAGTTGATATCTGTTATGCTTGGGTATGTGAGTTGATATCTGTTATGCTTGGGTATGTGAGTTGATATCTGTTATGCTTGGGTATGTGAGTTGATATCTGTTATGCTTGGGTATGTGAGTTGATATCTGTTATGCTTGGGTATGTGAGTTGATATCTGTTATGCTTGGGTATGTGAGTTGATATCTGTTATGCTTGGGTATGTGAGTTGATATCTGTTATGCTTGGGTATGTGAGTTGATATCTGTTATGCTTGGGTATGTGAGTTGATATCTGTTATGCTTGGGTATGTGAGTTGATATCTGTTATGCTTGGGTATGTGAGTTGATATCTGTTATGCTTGGGTATGTGAGTTGATATCTGTTATGCTTGGGTATGTGAGTTGATATCTGTTATGCTTGGGTATGTGAGTTGATATCTGTTATGCTTGGGTATGTGAGTTGATATCTGTTATGCTTGGGTATGTGAGTTGATATCTGTTATGCTTGGGTATGTGAGTTGATATCTGTTATGCTTGGGTATGTGAGTTGATATCTGTTATGCTTGGGTATGTGAGTTGATATCTGTTATGCTTGGGTATGTGAGTTGATATCTGTTATGCTTGGGTATGTGAGTTGATATCTGTTATGCTTGGGTATGTGAGTTGATATCTGTTATGCTTGGGTATGTGAGTTGATATCTGTTATGCTTGGGTATGTGAGTTGATATCTGTTATGCTTGGGTATGTGAGTTGATATCTGTTATGCTTGGGTATGTGAGTTGATATCTGTTATGCTTGGGTATGTGAGTTGATATCTGTTATGCTTGGGTATGTGAGTTGATATCTGTTATGCTTGGGTATGTGAGTTGATATCTGTTATGCTTGGGTATGTGAGTTGATATCTGTTATGCTTGGGTATGTGAGTTGATATCTGTTATGCTTGGGTATGTGAGTTGATATCTGTTATGCTTGGGTATGTGAGTTGATATCTGTTATGCTTGGGTATGTGAGTTGATATCTGTTATGCTTGGGTATGTGAGTTGATATCTGTTATGCTTGGGTATGTGAGTTGATATCTGTTATGCTTGGGTATGTGAGTTGATATCTGTTATGCTTGGGTATGTGAGTTGATATCTGTTATGCTTGGGTATGTGAGTTGATATCTGTTATGCTTGGGTATGTGAGTTGATATCTGTTATGCTTGGGTATGTGAGTTGATATCTGTTATGCTTGGGTATGTGAGTTGATATCTGTTATGCTTGGGTATGTGAGTTGATATCTGTTATGCTTGGGTATGTGAGTTGATATCTGTTATGCTTGGGTATGTGAGTTGATATCTGTTATGCTTGGGTATGTGAGTTGATATCTGTTATGCTTGGGTATGTGAGTTGATATCTGTTATGCTTGGGTATGTGAGTTGATATCTGTTATGCTTGGGTATGTGAGTTGATATCTGTTATGCTTGGGTATGTGAGTTGATATCTGTTATGCTTGGGTATGTGAGTTGATATCTGTTATGCTTGGGTATGTGAGTTGATATCTGTTATGCTTGGGTATGTGAGTTGATATCTGTTATGCTTGGGTATGTGAGTTGATATCTGTTATGCTTGGGTATGTGAGTTGATATCTGTTATGCTTGGGTATGTGAGTTGATATCTGTTATGCTTGGGTATGTGAGTTGATATCTGTTATGCTTGGGTATGTGAGTTGATATCTGTTATGCTTGGGTATGTGAGTTGATATCTGTTATGCTTGGGTATGTGAGTTGATATCTGTTATGCTTGGGTATGTGAGTTGATATCTGTTATGCTTGGGTATGTGAGTTGATATCTGTTATGCTTGGGTATGTGAGTTGATATCTGTTATGCTTGGGTATGTGAGTTGATATCTGTTATGCTTGGGTATGTGAGTTGATATCTGTTATGCTTGGGTATGTGAGTTGATATCTGTTATGCTTGGGTATGTGAGTTGATATCTGTTATGCTTGGGTATGTGAGTTGATATCTGTTATGCTTGGGTATGTGAGTTGATATCTGTTATGCTTGGGTATGTGAGTTGATATCTGTTATGCTTGGGTATGTGAGTTGATATCTGTTATGCTTGGGTATGTGAGTTGATATCTGTTATGCTTGGGTATGTGAGTTGATATCTGTTATGCTTGGGTATGTGAGTTGATATCTGTTATGCTTGGGTATGTGAGTTGATATCTGTTATGCTTGGGTATGTGAGTTGATATCTGTTATGCTTGGGTATGTGAGTTGATATCTGTTATGCTTGGGTATGTGAGTTGATATCTGTTATGCTTGGGTATGTGAGTTGATATCTGTTATGCTTGGGTATGTGAGTTGATATCTGTTATGCTTGGGTATGTGAGTTGATATCTGTTATGCTTGGGTATGTGAGTTGATATCTGTTATGCTTGGGTATGTGAGTTGATATCTGTTATGCTTGGGTATGTGAGTTGATATCTGTTATGCTTGGGTATGTGAGTTGATATCTGTTATGCTTGGGTATGTGAGTTGATATCTGTTATGCTTGGGTATGTGAGTTGATATCTGTTATGCTTGGGTATGTGAGTTGATATCTGTTATGCTTGGGTATGTGAGTTGATATCTGTTATGCTTGGGTATGTGAGTTGATATCTGTTATGCTTGGGTATGTGAGTTGATATCTGTTATGCTTGGGTATGTGAGTTGATATCTGTTATGCTTGGGTATGTGAGTTGATATCTGTTATGCTTGGGTATGTGAGTTGATATCTGTTATGCTTGGGTATGTGAGTTGATATCTGTTATGCTTGGGTATGTGAGTTGATATCTGTTATGCTTGGGTATGTGAGTTGATATCTGTTATGCTTGGGTATGTGAGTTGATATCTGTTATGCTTGGGTATGTGAGTTGATATCTGTTATGTTTGGGTATTTGAGTTGATATCAGTTATGCTTGGGAATGTGAGTTGATATCTGTTATGATTGGGTATTTGAGTTGATATCAGTTATGTTTGGGTATGTGAGTTGGTATCTGTTATGCTTGGGTATGTGAGTTGATATCTGTTATGTTTGGGTATGTGAGTTGGTATCTGTTATGCTTGGGTATTTGAGTTGATATCAGTTATGTTTGGGTATGTGAGTTGATATCTGTTATGTTTGGTAATGTGAGTTGATATCTGTTATGCTTGGGTATGTTAGTTGATATCTCTTATGTTTGGGTATGTGAGTAGATATCTGTTATGTTTGGTCATGTGAATTGATACCGTTTATGCTTGGGTATGTTAGTTGCTATCTGTTATGCTTGGGTATGTGAGGTGATATCTGTTATGCTTGGGTATGTGAGTTGATATCTGTTATGCTTAGGTATGTGAGTTGATATCTGTTATGTTTGGTAATGTGAGTTGATATCTGTTATGTTTGGGTATTTGAGTTGATATCTGTTATGCCTAAGTGTACAATCGGTCTAACCTTTATTAATGCCTGTTGTTTTCAGAGATTATCAAGCGGTTGTTCAGAGAAAGAAAGAACGGATTTTCTTGTTGAAGCATTAACTATGAGGTACGTACAGATTTCTGATCAATCTATCTTGAATGATTCATTTATTAAAAAATGTGACTTAAGCTCACTTTGCCCGAAGGTAGAAAATTTATATGTGGAAAAAGACGAAACAAGAAGTCATTTAAAAATTAAGTAACCACATTACGTAGGTTTTGTGATTTTTTTAAGGCAGTAGACAGAAAAATGAGTAGCACAGCATCTTAATGGTCGGTGTATATTGAGAACCAAACGACATTTTGCTTTTGTAATGGAATATATCACTTTATGTTTAAATGGGTTATCTTGTGAGAATTGCAATAGTTTACATCTACAGCACAATGGATAATGCAGAGAAAACACACAAAAGTTACAAAAAAAAATCAAAGTTTTTACCGGCAATAGTCTCAGATATATACATAGAAATATAAAAAAAAAACCAACATCAGCTATAACATAACACGGTGATATATGATACCATGTGATAAACAGACAAAGGATTTAAATGTAATGGGCAACAACGAATTAGAAAAGGAGAGTAGATCAAGGAAGTTATATCAGGCAACCTTGATGGGGAACATGCACGAGATGAAATCCTGTATCAGCTCAATTAAATCTATGGCAATGGTCGTCTAACCAGAGTCAAAATATGTGGAGCGAGTTCTATTTCCGCAGCTGTGGAAAGAAGAACAACTTCAGTCAAAACATATTTTTTTAAGTTTGTTTCTCTGTTTGACAGAATTAGAAACAAACATCACGTACAACTGATGTTGATGCAATTATTGCTTGTAGAAAATTTCAATAATTTATTTTTAATACAATTATATCTTAAATATGAAATTAAGTTGTTAATGTCCATAACATGTTTACAAAAAAAAGTATTTAACAAAATATTTCTTACAGAAAAAATGATAAAATTTCGCTTGATGATAATTTATTCTCTCTGATGTGAAATAAACTGTTTGCTAAATATCTACTTGTTTTATCTTCTTAGTAAAGTGCAAAGGTGACGTCATTTATGACGATGATTGCATGAAGGTGTTTTTTTAAACTCAGATAAAAAGAGTAAAAATGGAAGTGTACCTTTGGTAAGGATATAAAGGCTGCATGGGCTGTGTAAGGGATATGATATCGACGTTTGGTGCTTTGTACTGTTGGTACTGAAAGGATGTTCAATTATAAGTGGAAATAATGGCTACGTATAATATCACTTTATTGCAGTAAATTCAAACACGACAATATCGTCTGCTGTCTGGGAATATATGTCAAGAACGGTGCCCTCCTACTGGTGGAGGAGCTGATGGCAGGGGGTGATCTGAAACATTTCCTTGTCGAGTCACGTCCGACCATAGTAAGTGTGATACTCTTGGGGTTACCTTGACTTTCGCTCTCTGCACCTCTGGAATATGTCATAGCAAAATTGAAGAAACGAAAATAGCTGTTTGATTGGTCTACGGTTAACAATCTGACCAAGAGCGAGGCTTACACTTGTCTTTTGAAGATAACAGAGGAGCGACACCCGACTTCAAAGCCAGCCGTTATATGCACTTTTTTACATCAAGCTTTATATATGTTTGTTTAAAATATATTGTGGGTAAACTTGAATATGTCCCAAATCAGCTCGCTTTTTTGATATATTTTGATTTTTTTTTATATATAATTTTATATGATTGTTAAATCGTTAATCCAACAATAATTTTTCAAAGAATCATGATTAATGTTATGTAATGCGTAAACTTATTTATGCTTATGTTATGTGTATACTTTTCATTAAAATGTAAAAAAAATACATGAATTAGGCGACCGCGATATTCTTTTGATGTGCATCAAAGGATCGAACTAGTCTCCTTGTCACAACGAAAAGGTCGCGCACACTGAGCCTTTAACGCATTTGTGTGGGTTTAATTTGCGAATACTTTAAGGATTCACGTAACACTATACGAATGCATTGGAAACTGTTTGTTTCCTCGGCATTACTATTCCGTCTTATCTTCTCTTGTGAGTAGGTATTGATTGTTACGTCCTTGGTTTGAGTGAGATGATTACGTCGTTTTCTCAAAAATAGATGACGTTACACTCACAAACAAATGACGTCACAATCAATACCTGCTCATAAGAGCAGATAACTCTGCAATACGCAAAGACGGAATACATTGTACCATTAATAAGTCATCATTCAATTAAGAAAGATGAAACATTGCGTAATTTCCAAGAAAAAATAAAGAAGATTAATGAATCAAAACGCACCCGACAGCAACTTTTCGAGTGTTTAAACCGGGTTGAAATCCTGGACTTCAGATTGTTTTACTGTCACTCTTACTGACTAAACTACGTGCCAACTGTGTTACAGGTATATCCCAACGGAATTGAAGGGGGAGGGGGGTTACTGTTTATACAAAATAGAACAGTGCAGTGGGACAGGGATCCTTAAAAGGTTTTTAATGGGTGCTATTTAATACCGATAGTAATAAATATTGAGAACCAACATTCACGAATGAATGAATCTCAAGCAGTAACTTAAAAAGGAAATTGATTCACATTATATAAAACGTAACTGAAACAATTAAGCCTAACAAAATCTGCAAACAGAAACAAAAATAACAAAATAAAAACAAAATTTAAAACGTCAATCCGACTGAATTGAATGAAAATTGAATGTAATTTTATATCTCGTTGACTAAAGCACTTCCACACTTACGCAATTAACCAGCCAAATTCATTGAAACTTTCATATAATGGTTATGCAACTTTGTAGAGTTGATTTTATGAAAATCTAAACATTCCGATAGTTTGGGGAATTTTTTGGAAAAAATACCAAAAAATTGAATTTTCGTCAATTCTAATATTTTCCGGGTTTTTTTTTGTGTGTGGCATTGTTCGGAACAATAACAACAATAATAAAATGAAAAGAAGCATTTCTAATTAACCCTACAAATATTTTATTTATCGCAAAATATGTAACACATGTTACACAAAGTGTTTTTTATTGAATTTGTACGGATAAAAGTGATTATCTACAAGCTAAAAGCACCCAGGACACAAAGTTCTATACATATAGAGTGGGAAATTGAACAAAATATACACAATGGCTTTATAATTAATTTATTTTACATTTTACAATCACTTTGATCCGGGTGAGAGTTATCTTCCTTGAAAAAAATCGGAACTTTTTGCAGAGGGGTGACATTTACACAATGACAGTTGTCTCTGTTTACATATAACAAAAATGATGGAAATAAATCAAAAATATGATATCAAAATTATCAATTTATTGTTCTTTAATGGAACCAAATTACCCTCAGTCATGTACACTTTGGACATCATTCCACAGTCCGCTAACTCACGGTATATTTATAATTACATGTCAGACCAGAGGCTATCGCATGGTATACCGTTCTCACGTGCACTCACACATGCATTTCATAGGTATCTTGATATTTTACAAAACATTATTTTCACAGAGTAAGCTAGTAGACTACATTTGTAAACACGATTTAATCGACAGAGCGAAACTCCCTCAACAGCGAAAATCGTAACGACCTCGAGCTTATGAACTCGTGTAAACATAAATAGGATACCTGTTCGTTTATGCGGAACAACCGGTTTGACCGTTTATAAATGTAACAATTTCGGGTGTAAATCCTGGCGGACCTGCAAATGTGTATGCAGGCCTTGCAAGGCTTTCTCAAGACACGCCTGAAAGCAGCATCAGATTACTAGGTCTGACCTTATTTAATAAACGAACAACAGTGGTCCGATCGGTTTGACCGTTTAAATGAAAACGGCCCAGCAGGTGTTACTATAATTTGCACTACGATATTGAATGCCTGATACGCAATACGGAAATGACGACACGGTGTACATGCACATTTTCGATTAAGATAATTGAGTCCTAGCTGTACTTTTTCCGGAAGTATGTCACGAAAATGGACGCTGATGACGATGTGTCGAGCCACCTTAATATTTCTCTAACCACATTAAACACGTCTCCATTGGTTTACCATTACTTCTGTCTCTAGGATGAAACTCCAGCCTTGAGTACCGACGAACTTCTCTCTTTAGCAAATGACATCTGCCAAGCGTGTAGTTATCTGGAAGCACATAAATTCATACACAGGTAATACTTGATTTTCCTTCACATGTAATTTATTGTGTATTTTCATACACAGATAAAAGACTGAGTTAATCTTCATACAGGTAAAATATTGTATTGATTTTAGTACAAGTATGACTTTTTTTCTTTTTCTGCACACGCAAATAAGACATTGTGCTAATCTTCCCCCACAGATAAGACATTGTGCTAATCTTCCCTCACAGATAAGACATCGTGCTAATCTTCCCACACAGATAAGACAGCGTGCTAATCTTCCCACACAGGTAAAAAATCGTGCTAATCTTCCCACACAGATAAGACATCTTGCTAATCTTCCCACACAGATAAGATATCGTGCTAATCTTCCCACACAGATACGACATCGTGCTAATCTTCCCACACAGATAAGACATTGTGTTAATCTTTCCACGAAGATAAGACATTGTGCTAATCTTCCCACACATATAAGACACTGTGGTAATATTCCCACACATATAAGACATTGTGCTAATCTTCCCACACAGATAAGACATTGTGCTAATCTTCCCACACATATAAGACATTGTCCTAATCTTCCCACACAGATAAGACATTGTGCTAATCTTCCCACACAGATAAGACATTGTGCTAATCTTCCCACACAGATAAGACATCGTGCTAATCTTCAAACACATATAAGATATCGTGCTAATCTTCCCACGAAGATAAGACATTGTGCTAATCCTCCCACGAAGATAAGACATTGTGCTAATCTAACCACACATATAAGACATCGTGCTAATCTTCCCACGAAGATAAGACATCGTGCTAATCTTCCCACGAAGATAAGACATTGTGCTAATCTTCCCACGAAGATAAGACATCGTGCTAATCTTCCCACGAAGATAAGACATCGTGCTAATCTTCCCACGAAGATAAGACATTGTGCTAACCTTCCCACACAGATAAGACATTGTGCTAATCTTCCCACGAAGATAAGACATTGTGCTAATCTTCCCCCACAGATAAGACATTGTGCTAATCTTCTCACACAAGAGAGACATCGTGCGTATTTACACAAATATAAAACACAATCTTATCGCAGGTGAGAAATTTTGCAAATTTTCACACACAGAAAAGACATTGTGCAAATATTGATACATCTAAAATACTGTCCTTATCTGCACACGGGTAAGATACATGTATTGTGCTAATCTTCACACACAGTTAGACATCGTGAAAATCTTCACACACAGGTAAGACATCGTGAAAATATTCACATACAGGTAAGATATTATGAAAATATTCACACACAGGTAAGATATTATAAAAATCTTTACACACAGGTAAGACATTTTGAAAATCTTCACAACCGGGTAACCGAAGTGAAAATCTCCACACACAGGTAAGACATTTTGAAAATCTTCACAACCGGGTAACCGAAGTGAAAATCTTCTCACACAGGTAAGACATTGTGAACAGCTTCACACACAGATAGTGTATTGATTTTGACAACAAATACAATGGGCAAGTATCGGTAAGTGTTACTCTTAAAATTTACAAATCTTCAATGATATATGTGATATATCAGGTTATGCAAAAATCATTTTATATTTTTACTTCGCCTTTTTTTTCTTTGTTTATTTATTTAGTTATTCATACATTTTGCATTGATTTAAAGTAGAAGGTTCTTGACTTCATTACATACCTTTGCTTATGAGATTACTTTTAGCGTTTGTATGTATATGTATCTTATTTCATATTCAAAGGGATATTGCCTCCCGCAACTGTCTACTTACTGCAAAAACCCCGGACAGAGTGGCAAAAATGGCGGACTTTGGCTTAGCCCGAGACATTATACAGTAAGTATGTCACTGGTAATTGTTTTGTAACGCGGATCTAAAGTTATAACTGAGATTTTATCAGATTCAAACTATGTTATTGATAATAAAGTTGCTGAGATAATAATAGATACAGAATTTTATTTTTATAAGTTAAGTCAAATTGGTTGGGTGGCGAAGTGGAAAACGCACCCAACTTCAACTAAGGCGGCCGGGGTTCGATTCCCCGATCGGATGTGAAAAGATACAGGTGCACCTACACTCATTTAGTAAATACAATTTAGGTTGTACATCTTGTTGGTATATCAGGGTTGACTGTCCTTCCTTCTTACCTTTTCTTTCTTCCTCCTTTCTTTCTTTTCTTCCTTAGGGTGCATACTTTCACTCAACAGTTATCCAGATGAACCCAATATTGTTCAGTACTTTTTCTACTGATTCCCTCCGCCATCTTGTTTTTTTTCTTGTTAAATTTGTGGAATCATTCCTGTAAGAAGTATGAACGCTCTAACAAGTTTGATATGCATTGAACAGCACAGTTGACTACTATCAGAAATGTCGGGATATTTATTGATTGTTATAATCGTTTTGCACCAGGAACGACTCCTACCAGAAGTGTGGACGGTCTATGCTGCCTGTCCGATGGCTTCCTCCAGAGTCCTACCTTGAGGGAATATTTAGCACAAAGTCGGACGTTTGGTGAGAAATTTTGACATAAAAAAAAGATATTGAAACGAAAATCAGAATACGCATACACAGAATTCGTATCGTGTCGAAGTTTTGCAAACTTGAAAACGTCACAAATGAACTTCGATAACCGCCATTTTTGTATTGCCGGAAAGTTCTGCTCTGCTACGTATGGTTTTTCGTGCAACAGTACTTTGACGTCTTTTGTCGTAATTCAAGTTGCTGATTGTATTTTTTCTCTGCAGAATATTCCTAGATACCATATCAATAAAAAAAGTACATCAAAGAATTTTACAACTAAAGTTCTCGATGTGAGGACATGACACTGCTTTGGTTTGATCTAGATTTAGTTCCCGGGGTTGGCTGTAACCTATATGTTACAAACGTAATCTTTTCTGAGTAGCGGCATGGCTAATAATATACACACTTTTCAAACTTTTTAATTTGAAATAAAAATTTGAACCATTGAAATTGGAATTTGAACCATTGGAATTGAAATTTGAACAATTGAAATTAAAAATTGAACCAGTGAAATTGAAATTTGAACCAGTACTTCTCTATAGGGGTTTTACGCACCTGCCCCTCTGTTTCAACAGTAGTTAAGACTATTTCGATTTCCACCTTTTTGGCCCCTTGCATAACCAACGAGTCCTAGAAGAAAGAAACAGCTGTAAGATGCAGTTTTATTCATTTATTGGCTTACTGGCTTACCTTACTTGTAGGTGCAATCACACGTGCGTGTTACGTTCATCTTTACATCGTCGGTGAAGCAGAAGACGCTTACTCTCCCGGAACACCTGGTCTTATCTTCCCTCTAATTTTCAATGTCTCCATGTAAATCATTCAGTTATTCATTTGTGTCCCATTTGTATCGATTTTGAGTTCGAATTGTGATCTTGAAGACACTTCTGTATTCCATTGTTATTTGTAATGCAGGGCGTACGGTATCCTGTTATGGGAGATCTTCTCCTTCGGGTATGATCCCTATCCGTCAATGAAGTGCGAAGAAATGATGGCGAAAGTCAACGGAGGTCAACGAATGGCAGCTCCATCTCGATGTCCTACGGTCGTGTATGTTTGCCAATCGGAAACCTCTCGGGTGTTTCCTGTATTGTTTATGAAAAGTCCCGAGTGTTTTCCTCTGGGATGTTTCCTGGGTTTTCCAATTCGAACACAATTTGCTATAGTGCTTCCTCGTGATTATTTAAATGAAACAATTGTAAAGTCAGCGCCTATAAGTCATCATCTTGCATGAACCTCTGAGTCTTCATTCCATATAGACTGTTGCTTGGGTAGAAACTGTTGTTTTTCTATTTATAGCTATGATGTAATGATGCTCTGTTGGCAACATGACCCCAAATCACGACCTTCCTTTGAACGACTATGTGAATATCTCCAGAAGATTAGGAAGGTAAGCTAACATATTCTTATTCCGTCTTTGCGTATTGCAGAGTTATCTTCTCTTGAGAGCAGGTATTGATTGTTACGTCATTTAATTGTTTGTGAGAGTAACGTCGTCATTTTTTGAGAAAACGACGTAATTTTCTCACACAAACCAATGACGTAACAATCAATACCTGCTTTCAAGAGAAGATAACTCTGCAATACGCAAAGACGGAATACCGCAAATTATGTATATCTTCACTAGGACAAAAACAATTATTGTTTCTGGTTACCCTACATACCCTAATTGTTTGTTGCTACCCCAAACATTTGTGGTAATTTTCAAGGAAGCACTCTTAAAGTCAAAATCAGTCTCCTATATAAAAGTCTTTAAGGGGGTTCCTGCTTTTCACGATAAATTTTGCAGGATCTATTCTTTCGCGCATAGTGCAACAGTAAAAATGGTTTAAATTTCAACCAGTCTTGCGGGTTGTACATTGTAATTCTCAAGGAAAAATTGATACGACGATTATTAGAAACCCGCGAAATTTTGTTTACAGTATATTAATTATTTGGACAAGCGGTCGTTCGGATAAGCATTGACACAGTATTAAAACAAGCCATTTATTTAGGAAATTGACAAAGGTTCAAATCATCATAAGAGTTCAGATAATCGGGATCTGGATAATCAGCATTCCGCTTTATATCACAAACAGAGAGTTAAGTTAATAACAACTGATACAGTACCGAATATAACCTAATTTCGCATGGATTTATTTTCGCGAGCTGATGTTTCTATACTGATTCGATTGGACGTTATTCGCGTTTCACTCAGCATTTATATATTACGCTATTAAAGAGGTCGCATATCTCCATTATGTGAGATTACGGACTTAGATAACAATCTAATCTAATTCCGTGGTGAGATCGATTCTAGAATTTTTAAGTCAGTATTCCGTATCCCAAAATATGAATTATTTCTACATATTCCATAACATAACTGCTCTGTTTATTATAATTGCCTTCTTTCAGATTATTTACAAATGAGATTACCTTCAACTTTAAATCAAATAAAATCGTAGGACATTTTTGTTGTTGTTATATATAGATTTGACAAACCAGAAATATAATTCAAAGGAATTTCATCGGAGCTGCGTTATGAATCTTAAGAAATCCTCTGTTTATATATATCTACTTATTAACCCTTTAGAGAGAGAAAAAAAATGCCTTACTATAGTCAATATTTGTGTATTTGTCTTCCACAGAATGTGTGCATCAATATCGTCTGTACTAATGATGTAAGTGGCGATGAACAAGGGGACGACAGAGTCGAAAGTGACGAGGAAAACAAGCTTCATACCTGGCATTGCAACGGAAACTACGCTATAGAAGAGGAATCGGTGTAGATTATTGAGCAGGAAACAAATATCGGGAACCGTCGGCACTTTCCGTAAACGAGAATATATTTTCTTGATTACGAAAAGTGCCGACGGTTCCAGAATGACAGGAAAACAACGAAGGAAACATAGGAACCATTTTTTAAGTCTTGCTCTCAAGAATGAATCAGCGTGAAAATCAGTCAGTGGTCAAACAAGAAAATAGTTTCTCTTTTACGGAAAGTGCCGACGATTCTCGATTACATTGTCCATGCTATTTTATATTGGGAGGATATCCATATGTCTAAGGACACAATGTTATGTAAAAGTAATCAAGCACCGCTTTGAAAGATGATTCGATCGTACACAGATCTCTTACAAGAGGATGTGAATGTTTATATTAAGTTACCTCCCCTATTTTTGAGTAATGTCCCTTTGTTTCAAAACGTTCTCGCTACAGTGTCATTTTATTACCAACGAAGAAATGAATAGGAACACGGTAGCAATGAAACCAGTAAAACAGGACACAGCAAAATCGATAGTGAAACCTTCATCAGAGACCAACTGCAGTCTACAATGACTGCTTCCCTCGAAACTACCTCTATAGAGAGACCATCTGTCTACAACGACCAGTAACACATATAAAAGGAATTTGTCGTATACACCACCTGACCTGTCTATTAAAATCAACGACTGGTGGACGAATTATTGAGTTCTCTCTATTCCGTCTTTTCGTATTGCAGAGTTATCTGCTCTTGTGAACAGGTATTGCTCGTTACGTCATTTGTTTGTGAGAATAACGTCATAATTTTTTGAGAAAACGACGTAATTTTCTCACACAAACTAATGACGTAACAATCAATACCTGCTCACAAGAGCAGATAACTCTGCAATAGAAAAAGACAGAATAGTCCCAGCCTGTGCATCAGGACTTGGTTTACAGCAACATACTTAGATAATGGATACAGATCGTCAAAGGGACTTGTAGATCTCATTGCTATGGGTCTGACTGTCATAGTACATAGTTGGTCTTGTTCAATCAGAAACTTGTTTTTCTAAGCAAGCTACGTCCTTGAACTACACGGTGATCAAGCGTCTGGATGAACGAGACTAGGTTGATCTAAATATATTTTTGATTAAAAGACAATTACCTGCACCAATTGATAATATTTTCTGGAACCCGATTCACGGCATACACTTTACGTACGTAAATTATATACCTCGAGCGTCAGGTCATTTATTTTGGAAGTTACTTTAACAATGTATTCAATTAAAATCTGCTTTAGCAAAACGCCTGTCTATATACATTTTGTTTCTGCTCATTCACAGTTCCAACAGTATCGAGGCGAAAATCGTTATTAAATTTTATAGCCATTATTCATATACATGTATTGCTGTCATGTGGCATAGATTTGCTTCTTTCAGCATCATTTTATTTTACACTTAACGGTTAAGAGTGTCACTGCATTAGCTCTATTGTTTTTCATTAAGTAACTTCCTCTATCTAGTTATTCATAAGCATGAATTGGACACTAATTGTTTGGATGCCGTCTAGGTACAACACGATGATGGCTACATCGGTAAAGCGTATATGCTTTGCAATGTATATAACGATCTTCAGTTTGACTCTTCCATTTATTTCTGTCTTTTATTTCAAACATTCAAATTTTGAATGCATACAATAATAAACACACACTATACAGTTTATGGATGCGAGTTATCCCTGCATATTTTTTTTTTTAATTTCTTTTTGTGGGGATGTCTTTTTTTCTCTCTCTTTGTTGTTGTTGTTGTTGCAATATCTGTGGGTTTTTTTTTTTTAGATTTGTGTGAAAATTACACGGGATAATGTGTATACCAGGTGTGAGTTATAAACAGTAATACAATTAAACCTGTGTGATCCGAGTATTCTGACATCCTGTGTCGACAGTGTATCGGATTAGACAGGTGTACATATGCAAGACCACACACTTGTGTTTTTCTAACGAATCAGAAAGCATAGGTTTATTGCGCGGAGCGCACGAGTGAAAATATATGTCCGCGCAAAAAATGAGTGCTTTCTGATTCGTTAGAAAAACACAACTGTGTGGTCTTGCTTTTATCACATACCTTCCGTATTTGGTAGAAATCGATACAAAGAATTTATACACTTTGATAAAAAAAAATGCAAATACCGGGAACTTTTCAGTTCGCCATGACGAGGGGATTCCCATAAAAAGTAGTTCCGGCTAGTAGGTAAATACAGCATTCCAAAACGTTGTGTTTCATGGTCTGAAAATTGCTTGTATTGCTATAACAAGATTCAACAGGTTTGTGATAATATATTTTATACTAAATCTGTTGTTCAATAAATACATGTTGATTTTACAATTAAATTGGTTTGTTTTATTCTGAAACCTTGTCAGTGTTTTCTATAATACAGAACCCAAGAGACCTTTAAAATTGTATGCCATTGTATATTACATGTTTCAGGTGTGACAACATTTCTTGATTTTGGTATTTCAATTGGTATAACTTCAATACACAACGATCTCTTGTTGAACCTTGTATTGTGGTACTTTGGCTAAAGATGACCTTCAGTTGAATCTTGTAAGGAGGAATAGTCTAAAGAAGACTTCTAGTTGAATCTGGTATGGCGGAAAAGTTCTTAAGATGACCTTTAGTTGAATATCGGATGGTGGAACAGCATCTTAAATCGTTATCTGGTTGATTTTGGTATGGTGGATCATTGTCTGAAGGTATTTCTAGTTAAATCTTGTACGGTGGAAAAATGTTTAAAGAAGTCACCGGATGAATCTGGTATGATGGACAAGACGACCTCGAATTTAATTTCATATAGTATTACAATATATATATATACAGACAGCAGGGGCGTTTCTAGGATATTTGAAAGAGGGGGCGTAGAATCAAATCTTTCGCCTAGCGGAGCGAGTTAAAAAAAAAATTGGACCTTTTTTTTCCTAAAAAACATAAAATAATTGTGAAATGCACTAATGTAATGGTTCCTGAATTGGAGCATGTATATTTCATAGTTAAAGTGTCATGGTGTTTATGTGTGTTTAATCACGGAATTAGTTATCTAAGTCCGTGGTTTAATTAATGAATATGATAAATTGCCATATTTAATACAATATTAGCAGATTAGGATATTTTATTTTATTTTGAAAAAAAGGGGGGGTGGGGGGGTACGCACATTACGCCCCCACCTGGACCCGCCCCTGGAAGACTCTAATCGGATCAGACTTGGTGGGTTCGTGTCTAAATACAAACTCTAGTCGTGGTGAGGGAATCTCATCTGGGCTTGACACAATTTGAGTGCCTCATACATATTGACCAACCCTTGTTATTTGTTGGCCGTGGCTGAGCGATGACTACGGGGAAAGAAGCATTGCTACATGAACTTAATCTTGCCTATAAGTCACCCAGAACAATACTGATGTTCTGTTTTCATATTTTCAAAATGGCATGTTAGAGCAAATATTAATTGATTCTAAACAGTGTCTGTTGGTATTTCTGTTGACTGTAATGGAAATTTGTAAATTTCAATGAAAATTTACAGATTCATTTATCACATAGATTACTGATTGAATTGATAAAGATTTCCAACAAAAACACAATTGAAACTCAAAAATCTTTAAGGCATTATTTCCCATCTCATTGTTAGCAATAAATATATACAATGAAGAATCAGCCATATTAACAAAACACTTCATAATTAAAAATAAAAACCTGTCTAATATGACACTGTGAAGTACAACATAGTTGTCAGATTAACCTGTCTAAACTGACAGAGTAACAACATATTTGTCTGATTAACCTGTCTAATCTGACACTGAGTAACACAACATATTTTTCAGATTAACCTGTCTAATCTGACCCAGAGTAACAAAACATTCATGTCAAATTAACCTGTCTAATCTGACACTGAGTAACACAACATGTATGTCAGATTAACCTGTCTAATCTGACACCCTGTGTAACACAACATATCAATTATATTGATATGTCTAATCTGACATAAGAATGGGTGTGGGAGAAAAGGAGATTACCTTAAATTTTACATTTTAGAACATTTTCTCAGCAGGGATTCCCCGAACTTCCCCAGATCAATACATGTGACCTAATTGTGTCCCCTTTAACAGTAAATTCTTCATCTGCTATTTATCACTATTGTTAGGGAGAACAACATGCCGTCAAACCCTTGTTCACACATAAGCTACAAGTTCTAAATTTACCCTAAGACAGGTATGGCAAGAGTGACAGTAGTAGCTGTATATACCTTCGGCCATTTCTTCCCGTGACTGACGAGTTGTGGATTTAGGGTGAATCTTATAAAAAACACCAAATTATTCAAAAGTTGCTTTCTCATATTTATATCAAGGAGAAAATCTTAACATTTTCCAGGAAAAAAACATGCAAAATTGGTGAATATCTAAATTTCCACCAATTAGAATCTGCCTCAGCCATGTTCAATGAGCGATCAACAAAAACAGTCTTTTGCACACGCCTTTAATTCACGAACACTCGAGTGAAAGTTTCCTGAAATTCTGCCCAGCAATTTGCATGAAAAGCAATAGAAAACCCTCTGGCCTAACTAAGACTTAGAAGGTGGTAGAAATCAGAAAAATAACAACAGCAAAAGAAATAAGTCTCTATACTTTGTTTTGGGGACTTGATGATGACAGAGATATTCCCGAATCGTTTGGTATGGACGTTTGCCATCGGAGGGAGCTGGAAACATACAAAATATGATCTTGTTCACACAAAACAGTTGTTCTGCGAATTTGTAAAACAGGTTGTTTAAAATGTATTTTGAACAAAATAAGACCAACAAGAACAATAAAATAATATTATCCTGGTTGTTTTGCCCGTAAATATGAAGTTTGAAATGCATTGGTTTAACATTTATGGTGATATGCGACACAGGTGCTACCGTACATCATGGAATATGTTTGAATGAAACTGTGTTGCATGCTATCATTAATGTTTAAACTCTTTCACCCCTATGTAACTTTAGTAGACTCTACCATGCATTGATCTTGATGAGTCCATTATTGTCTACAGTGGTGAAAGGGTTAAAAGATGCATTTCAGTCCAGAGTTAAAAACACTCTCAATAGAAACTCAAGTATATATATATATTTATAAATAAAAGTTACATGCATTGTTTGCAAAAAAAACCAAAATATTGAGACTGAGACCATATATCTAAGTTAATATTTCCACTGAAACATTCAGCTATGGACACAATTTGATCATGGTCATTTTGAAGCTTCTCCTCTCGCCTCAGTTAACATGCATATGAGACAACTGTAGGAATCAAACATTTTGCTGATGTTAAGCTATTCCAGGAATTTTGTTTGTGCTGACGACATGGACACTTCAATATTGTAAATATAAGATAAATATATGTAGGTCAATAATAACTACTGCAAACCTTAAAATTTTTGCTGCAGTTTACATTTCGTCTTTTTTGCCCTCCTTAACCATTTCACCACTGGAGACCATAATGGACTCATCCATATCAATGCATGGTAGAGTCTACTAAAGTTCCATAGGGGTGAAAGGATTAACTCATTCACCCTTGCAAATTTGTAATGGACTATTCCAACCATTGTATTGGAAGAGTCCAAATGTGACTTTAGGTGTAATGAGAGTGAATTTGTCATTACAGTGAACATTTGTAAACAACAAAATATACATGCAATCAAAAGTGAATGGCTTATTTAATGCTGGGCAGAATGGAATTTTATCTTCGAAGGGCAAAAAACTTTCCCGGTATACAGTAAATAGTTAAAATGTGTGTATACCAGGTAAAGACTGAATGACATTTTTTCAATTTTATGCTGGCTTCATGATTAATGTGTATGTAACCGATTTGCGTTCATACCAGCATGAAATGGAAAGAAATCTGCTCAACCGTTCTATTTTTAGAACATCCTGCTAGATGTGTGCAAATGTGTACCAACAGAGTTTCCATCATTTCGTCTTATAACAGAAAGTTTGGTTTCTCATTATCGCTGTTGACAGGAAACTGGAAACCTTGATTCCTTGCCATTTCAATAATTTTTCTCGACTCCAGGATGAAAGTGGAATAGGTAACACGCGGGTACTTGTCCACGAGTTTCTCAATACCATCAGCAGTGACCTGGTCACACCGGATAAGTCCGATGTATCGCAACGCTGTACAACGTTCGGAGACAAACTGCACCCCAGCGTCCGTGACGGAGTGACACCACCCTATGTCTAAATGTTCCAAGCTCCGACTGTGCCTGCCCAGGAATTCTAGTCCTGTAAAATAATTTTTAATCAGTAGGCTATATATTCCAACAAAGGTGGAAATGCAAAGATGTCTTCCCAGGAATTCTAGTCCTGTAAAATAAGTTTTTAAACTGTAGGCTAATTATTCCAACAAAGGAGGGATTGCAAAGATGTTAATACTTTTACCACTGTAGACCATAATGGACTCATCCATATCAATGCACGGTAATGTCTACTAAAGTTACAAAGGGGTGAAAGGGTTAAAATATGTAAATATAAGCATGATGTTCTAGGGAAAGAAATAGTAAGTTCTTACATACAGCTTTCGTGAAAGGTGGGGAATTCCACATGAGACAGTAAATTTGGCCTGCTGTTGATCAACTCCAAGGGTACTAGACCTTAACTGGGTCTATGATGGCTCATTTAACCCTTTAACCACTGTAGACCATAATGGACTCATCAATATAAATGCATGGTAGAGTCTACTAAAGTTACATAGGGGTGAAAGGGTTAAACCATAATTGTATCAATTCGGCTTGGCCTTACCCATGTCTGTACAAGACAAACTGTTAACATGATATTATTTTGGCTTGGCCTTACCCATGTCTGTACAAGACAAACTGTAAACATGAGATTATTTTGGCTTGGCCTTACCCATGTCTGTACAAACCGTAAACATGAGATTATTTTGGCTTGGCCTTACCTGTATCTGTGATGTTACATGACACTAAGTACAGTTTTTTTAGATTCGTACAGTGCAGGGCTACCGTCTCCATACACCTGTCGTCCACGTTTTGGTTCAGAGAGAGGTTCAGGCATACAAGCTGTGAGCAGTTTTGGGTGATCGCACAAACGGTCCGTAGGCTTAGTTCGTTTGAACCAGACAAGTCTAAAGTCCGTAAAAATTTCAGCTGAAAAAAATATCACCAAAGTGTCCAGTTTTATTCAATACAAATTGATTTTCAATGAAGATATTTTGCATATGATTGAAGACTAAAAAAATTAATATATACAATAAATTGCAACTTACCTAAGATTTAGGTGCCTTAGTTAGTTTTGTGCCTAACCTGTAATTTTTATGTTGATTTTAATTTACACAAGCACATGCACATGTATGCATTGTGAGAATTACTTTATCTTTTCTTAAAAATAATTGGTGCCTCAAAACTGAGATTAGGATTTCTAGAATATTTACATAAACCAAATTGAAGAAATGAAGGGATGACGAAAAGTCAGGTAGTTGGGACAAACAAATAACATAATTTCACAGGAAGTGCCTGCATTGTGCTTTGTATGCTAAGTGTGATGTTGGTCTGACTCATTGGTTCAATTGGTGGTAGATTACTCGTATCAGTATATAATGTACACAGGGTAGCATATTCACCCTCAAGGGAGGTAACTTGTACCCACCAAATTATAGGCATAATGTATAGGGTAGCATTTATATATAGATCTTCAAGGGAGACAATTTGTAAGACAAATTGTAGATATAATGTAAAACATAGCTTATCCTTAAGGCAGATACATGTAACTACTGACATAAGATACAGATACAATGAATAGAGTAACATAGGGTAGCATATTCACCCTCAAGGGAGGTAACTTGTACCCACCAAATTATAGGCATAATGTATAGTGTAGCATATATATCCTTAAGGGAGATAACTCTTTGGCACAAATTACCAGTAGAATGTATAAACATTTTCAAGGGAGGTAACTTGTAACACTTTTTTGTTTGTTTGTGTTTTACGTCCTATTAACAGCTGTGGTAATTTTAGGACGTGTCAGGTTTTGCTGGTGGAGGAGAGCCCGAGTTCTCGAAGGAAAAACACCGACCTACGGCCAGTACCTAGTGACTGCCCCTCGTAGGTCTCGAACCGGTGACCCAGGGGTGGTGGCCATGGGCTAGTGGTAGCAGATTGTCATCATTAAGTCACAATACTCACTTTGTGAAGCTGATAAGCTCCCACGTCGCCGATACTGCTGCTGTGAAGGTTGATTACCCGGAGTTCTGGACAGCCATTGGCCAATGCAATGATTCCCTCATTCTGGACCTTCAAGTTTAAATACGAAAGTTTAATATTACTAAAGGTTGATACAGCCCAGATGTGTCTCTATTACTGTAACGAGACCTCCAAACAAACAAACAAACACATATATAGTGATGGGCAATTAGTTTAAAATCAAAATCGATAATTGGTTTAAAATCAGAGGAAGAAAACTGATTGATGATCGATTGCATAATCAATTTATAATTTCATGGGACTGGATACCCAAATAAAGTGAAAACTTTACTTTTACATCACTAGACAGTGTTGTGAACTATAGGATAGGTTCCGTTCTTCTAAATCAGAGATATTTTTATGCAGTTTTGATATTTTCTTTCTACATTAACATCAATCATGAAAATAACAAGAGGCCTAATGGGCCTGCATCGCTCACCTGGTATTAAGACCACACTTGTAATCTTAAAAGTGGACTAAAATACAGCTACAGGCAGAATATCAGTGTTTGATTCATAAGAACCTATTAAAAGATTTAAACATATGACGCCTGTGAGCTTGAATGTCGAACAAGGACATTAGGATGAAAGTGGGTCAAGGTAATTCATTTGAACAAACTTGTGGTCCTTCATCCCAGCATGCTACAGGCCAAATTTCAGTACCCTGGGCATTTTGGTTATTGAGAAAAGTCTTTTAAAGATTTTAACATATTTGACCCATGTGACCTTGAAAGTGGGTCAAGGTCATTCATTTGGACAAAATTGGAAGTCCTTCATCCTAGCATGCTACAAGCCAAATAGCAGTACCCTGGGCCTTTTGCTTACTGATAAGTTGTTTGAAGATTTTAAGACAATAGACCCCTGTGACCTTGAAAGTGGGTCAAGGTCATTCATTTGAACAAAATTAGTAGCCCTTCACCCCAGCATGCTACAGGCCCAATATCAGTACCCTGGGCCTTTTGGTTATTGAGAAGAAGTTGTTTAAAGTAAAATATTGACGACGGACACCGCACCACAGCATAAGCTCACTTGGCCCTTTGGGCCAGGTGAGCTAAAAATTGAAGAATAAATTACTTTTAAAACATACTTTTATTTAATACATTTGACACTTAGATTTCCATAGTGAACCGATCATCAGCCCATCACCACACATACACCACTTACCTTAACACAACTGTCTACCGACAATCTCTCCAGGAGTGGACAATGTTCCCCGAGACACGCCAGTCCTTTATCACCAATATTCGTACATTGGCTGATGTGAACACTCTCAAGCTTCGGACAACCAACAGCCAACTGTAAATAAAACGACGGAACAGGTGAGAATACGATAAAATCGTACAACTAACAGCTAACTGTAAACAATACGTTGCAACAGGTAAGATTAATATTACGATAAAATTGTACACCCAACAGTCAACTGTAAATAATATGCCGGAACAGGTGAGAATACGATAAAATTGTGCAACTTACAGCTAACTGTAAATAATATGCCGGAACAGGTGAGAATACGATAAAATCGTACAACTACATTGTGTAATAGCTTACTGTAAATAATATGCCGGAACAGGTGAGAATACGATAAAATTGTACAACTAACAACTAACTGTAAATAATATGTCGCAACAGGTGAGAATACGATAAAATTGTACAACTAACAGCTAACTGTAAGTAATATGCCGGAACAGGTGAGAATACGATAAAATTGTACACCCAACAGTCAACTGTAAATAATATGCCGGAACAGGTGAGAATACGATAAAATCGTACAACTAACAGCTAACTGTAAATAATATGCCGGAACAGGTGAGAATACAATAAAATCGTACAACTAACAGCTAACTGTAAATAATATGTCGCAACAGGTGAGAATACGATAAAATCATACAACTAACAGCTAACTGTAAATAATACGTCGCAACAGGTGAAAATACGATAAAATCGGACAACCAACAGTCAATTGTGAATAATTCGCCCAAACAGATATGAAATCGATTAAATCGGACAACCAACCAACAACCAACTGTAAATTATATGCAGACACTAAAGAATAACATATATATGTTTTCAATGTAGTAACATAATCAATTAATTGGTTGATTCCATGTTAAACTATTCCTCTAAATAATAAAGATTTTATGATCAATCAACATTTGAAAATTTGGAACAATTTTTTTTCATCAAAATGTTTCCGTTGTTACCAAATTGCAAGTACGTCTTTACCATAATAGTCTCCCCTGATTGATAGGGTGCAAAAAGTCACAGCGATATGCAACTTTTTACCTTTATATATTTTGAAGTCTTGTTGACATATACTGGAAAGTATCAGCAATTGTGATTTGTTTTTAATGCTTATGGAATCACACTCTAGAAACAAGAATAATGTTTAGGCTTACTGACATTATATTTAATTAGCTCACTCAAAATTTTAACATATTTCGAATATAAGTTATTAGCACACTGATGATTGGGGCACCAAAAATATTATACAGAAATTAAACTTCAATTAGCACAATTGTTATTTAGAACAATATTTAAACTGTTAAAAGCGCTAAAATAACACTCACAAAAAGAGGTACAGTTACAGTATATATTCACTTAATTAAAAACTTACATCTTTAAAACCTGCATCTGTGATTTTGTAGCAAACTTCAAGATGAATGTTTCGGAGATTGTGGCAATGTTCGCCGATAGCTGCGAGCACCTTGTTCGTCGCCACTGACATACACCTGTCAGGGGAGGTAAGCGTGTCATGTTAAAAATACACAATATATAATTGTTAAATTTTTTACTGGCATGAAAATAGCTTTAATTAATTATTTCTGAAAAGAAACCTATACCTTGCAGATCTAGAACTCTAATTAAAAAAAAAAAAGATGAACATAATTAACCAAAAAGATTAAATGATATTGTTCTGAAAGTAAATAGGCAACAGGGCAACTGGTATTCGAACCCAGGACCTCTGATAATTATTCTGTAACTGTAAGGTCGCTCTACAAATCTGAGTCATTGATAAGCATTGATATTCCAAAATGCAATTTAGGAGAGAATACTGTAAGGATTCCAGGTAAAAAATGACTATTTTAGCTTCTTGCTAAGTTGCTTTGGAAAGATGGTGGAAAAATCACTGCATTATTTAGACACCATACCAAAAAAAGGTTAAGAGCAAATGGCTACAAGTTTAATCTATGTCTTGAAAATGGAAGATTATAAACATTTTGAAATCAGAATTAGTTTGTCATTTTCTGTTGGCATAATGTTCACATACTAATTACAAGAGAAAAAGTAATATTAGGCCAAAAAAAAAGTTGTTTGTTTCCAGTAACCTTTAATCAGCTTACCCTAATTTTTATTTTTTGTACTTAGGCCAAAAAAAAAGAGGTGTCTGTTTAGGGTTCCCGACCGACCCTAGCTTTTTACCCCCAACCCAAACCTTTTTGATGATTTTTTTTTTTTTTTTTTTTAAAACCCGCTGATTTTCGAATTTTAGAAGGTTCCTTGCCTTTCAAAATGGCTTCCAGCTCCGTGTTGGCACTAAATGTCATCATATGGAGCACAATTTGCCTCCAAATGAACCTTGTGTATGTACTTCTTTGTTTTACATACAATAGTAGGGTCATAATCACATGACCAAAAATATACAAACAAAAAAAACCCATTTTTTTTTTTATATCCGACCTACCTGCCCTAGTTTTTTTTGCCAATGCAACCCTAAACAGACTATATATTTTTTTTGGCCTAATATCCTAAACATTCTTTTGGCAATTATCAAGGAAGCACTGTTTTAATGTCCAGATCACTTTCCCACAAATCTGTTACCTATGTACTTACTCTAATTTTTTCAGACATACAACAGGAAAAAAACATGTTTTTGCTTAGCCTTAAAGAGGAACTTCAGGTGTTGCTTAAAGAAGTTTTTTTGGCCAGACAATAAAATATATGTGTTTCCTGTTATAACATGTTGGAAAAATTAGGGTAGTAGGTAGGCAACAAATTTGATTTTTAAAGATAATGTCATATGGTTTATATTCCGTCTTTGCGTATTGCAGCGTTATCTTCTCTTGGGAGCAGGTATTGATTGTTACGTCATTGGTTTGTGCGTGAAAATTACGTCGTTTTCTCAAAAAATGATGAGGTTACTCTCACAAACAAGTGACGTAACAATCAAGAGAAGATAACTCTGCAATACACAAGGACGGAATAGTAGATTAAGCACACAAAAGGATTGTTGACAGTAACCTCCCCTTTTAAAATTTGATTTTTAAAGATAATGTCATATGGTTTATATATATGGTCTTGACTTTAACCCTTTCACCACTGTAGACCATAATGGACACATCCAAATAAATGTATGGTAGAGTCTACTAAAGTTACTTAGGGGTGAAAGGGTTAACACTGCTGATGATGAGTGCTTCTTTGAAAATTGCCTTTAAAACTTTAGGGTAGGCACAAAAAACAAGTGAAGGTAGGTTTACCGGAAATACCGAATATTTTGTATTGGCCTCTAGATGTATTGAAAAATTACTAAATAAATTCACATTTTTTTTTGGTAAAAATAATGAAGTTATGCAACTTACTGCCATTTTAGACGAAATCTTGGACAAAATATTACCTGGAAAGTATTATCGTGCTCAAGTGAATACAGGTCTTCACAGTTTGGACCAGACAGTCTTCAGATATTGTTCCAATATCAGAAATATTCAAGTAGATCACCCGGTCGCTGTAAGACGTCAAGTTGGTGATAACCACATCAGTGACCTTGAGCTGATTCCGAAGGTCAATGACACGCCAAAGGTCAGGGTCATGAGAGATGGTGTACCATAACTTACATACACTAGAAACGTTATGTAGTAGCTCATACATCGACAGATGTTGGAAAATCTGGATCAGTAAATACGACGGGATTTTGAAGTTGAAGATCGAATTGACTGTATCACACTCATCTTCGCAAGATTTTGACAAAGTTGAGCAATCTGCGTTACTACTTTTTTCCTTTTTCGTAGGAATTTCAAAACGGTTTACGATGAGCCGTGGGAATCCTAGCATCGGCTCCGATACAACTTCTGGCTGAGAAAAATCTCCCAGTAAATTGGGCATCTGTGCCGTTGAAGATGTAGACGACGACACGGATATTGAAAATGTTTGTTTCGGTGATTGTGTAGATGACATTGGAATTGATGATGAAGATGCTTCTGTGTCTAACAAAGGTTTTGAAACTTCAGTAGGAACTGATAGTTTAACTGGTTTTGATGAAGATGAGGCTGTAGCACTCGATATAGAAAAAGACTTTCTTGGTGATGAGACGGAAGATGAAGATGATGCTGATGCTGATGCGGAAGATGCTGAAGATGAAAACCAATAGTTGTCCGCGACAGAATGAAGATCATTGTGATTTGAGCTGGAAGTTGTGATAATATCCATGTCACTATAAGCACTTTGATTTGACAAATGATCTTTACTGGGTAGATGTTCCTTCGAAGAGGAAAACGAATGTGAGGCTTCCCCAGTCTCATCATCCCCGTGTGATATAGTTTGACTAGAAACACGCTGAAGATGTGAAGTTGTATTATTTTCTGTCCCGGTATCACAGATGTCATTATCAGAATCTAAGCCTACATCAGATATAGGACAATGAAACTCACTACCTAAAGTTTTGTCCGACTCACAATCATGATTATTTTCTTGACACGTTGGGTGGGAAGAGGTTATTCCAAATGACCTTGACCTGTCTGAAGGTGAAGCAAGTGTATACAAAGTTGACCTTTCTGCACTTGATGAATGAAGCTGACTTGATATTTCTGTACTAGATGACCCTTTAACCCAAGACGACCTTTCTAAAATAGTTGACCTTTCAGGCCATTCTGACCTTTCCACTCTAGATGAACTTTGAACTTGAGATAACCTTTCTGCACTAGGTGACTCAGTAATTAGAAAGTTTGCACAAGTTTTACTATCAGCTTTTTCTGTCTTTGGAAGAGATTCAAAATAGCAATTGAAATCATCAGTTTTATCCAAATATTCAGTTAATGCTACTCTTTTCCTTTTGCATGGATTTGAACACCTTTCTTCTGATTGGTCAATAAGTGTCCTTTCATTGTGCAAGCATCTTTCCGATTGGTTTACAGGTGTCCTTTCATCATGCAAGCATTTTTCTGATTGGTTGATTATAGGTGTCCTTTCGTCATGCAAGCATATTTCTGATTGGTTGATAGTTGTCCTTTCGTCATGCAAGCATCTTGCTGATTGGTTGACAGGTGTCCTTTCGTCATGAAAGCATCTTGCTGATTGGTTGACAGGTGTCCTTTCATCATGTAAGCATCTTTCTGATTGGTTGCAAGGTGTTTCCTCACATAAACTTGTTTCCGATTGGTTTTCAGAAGAAGTATTATCTTGAGGTTTGTTGTCTGTAGGCATCTTTGTTGGATCTGGTTGACCTGATGACATTATTCAAACCGTTTAAAAGATAGGGTAGGCCATTGGTGATATGTGACAGGAGCAACTTCCTGAAAATAAAAAATAAATAAAATTTAGGTCTGATGTCTACCAAGTAGAAAACAAATTAGTTTCTTTTTCTATTTTCTTCAGATTGGTAATTATGGATTGTTGTTGATGTCACATGGTCAGCTTTTTGAAATAAAAATGGATTTTTAGGTGAAATGTCTTTCAAGAAATATACAATCTTTCATGCCAAATTTCAGAAACATCCCTTCTATACTTTCTGAGAAATAGCGCTGACAAGAATTATTTACGGAGAGACCGAATGACAGACCACACAGACGCAGGGTGATTTGAATAGCCCACCATCTGATGATAAAAACCCAAAAAGGCGATAGTGAGTTATTTCAGACGAGGCATGTGTCATCCTTGATATCCAGGGGTTACGTATACGCTCACTTTCGCTCTCTGCATCCCTGCAGTATGTCATAGCAAAATTGAAGGCACGTAGATATAGCTAGTACTTGAAACAAGCAAGGGTTTGTCACAGGCACTACAGAGTGTTACACTTGTTTTCAAGTCACTAATGCCCTGGGCAAGTAGACACCAAAAATCCACTTGCCCGACCGCAATTTCTACTTACCAGTCTTTTTCACCCTCTTTTATCATAAAATGTGATTCATAAAGATTCAGTTTAATCCGTTCAGAGTCAAAATAGCTAGATAGAATGTGCACGTATTGTAAAAGGTTATTTGTTTTCTATTAATTACCAGTGAACGTTAACACATATCTGCATTTACAGTGTCAACACATATCTGCATATACAGTGTCAACACATTTCTGCATTTACAGTGTCAACACATTTCTGCATTAACAGTGTCACAAACACAATTTGCTGATTTTTTACATTATCACTCATGAGCTATATGGTCATTTAGGGGCGGCCTCTCCTGTGTGCAAGATGCATGCGTGTAGTGTATGCGTGAATGTTTTGGGAGGCTGCAATATGTTCGTGTTTGTCTCCTTGTGATAGCGCGGAACTGATGTCAACTTTATAGTTTTGTTTGTTTGTTTGATTTTGTTTAACGTCCTATTAACAGCTAAGGTCATTTAAGGACGGCCTCCCCTGTGTGCAAGATGCATGCGTGTAGTGTATGTGCGTGTATTTTGGGAGGCTGCGATATGTTCGTGTTTGTCTTCTTGTAATAGCGCGGAACTGATGCCGACTTTATAGTGCTATCTCACTGAAACATACTGCCGAAGACACCCAGCAGGACGCCCCACCGGGTCACATTATACTGACAACGGGCGAACCAGTCGTCCCACTCCTATTAATTGCTGAGCGTTAAGCAGGAGTAGAAACTTACATTTTTACAGACTCTGGTATGTCTTGGCAAGGGGACAGAACCCAAAGCCTTCCTTACAGGGGTGAATGCTCAACTAAAGGCCTAAGGTGAGGAGGCATTGTCAAGGGAGACATTAGAAAGAAGAAAGTTGTTTAGAAAGAAGAGAAAAGATAAGATCCCAAATTTAGTCACCTCTTACGATCATGCAATGGGGGGCAGCAGGTACTAACGCCCTACCTGCACGGACTGAGCCTTCCATGTATTGTTTGGTTAAGAAATCATTAGTTCATCTCTGAAGATGAAAGTTATGATGGTATGATGTGGCAGATTTTGATATAACCACAGAATTAGTGATAATTACAGTATAATAAAAAACAATGGTCATTGCATGAATCCCTTTAAAAGCATCAGAGTAATTCCCCTTGCACCGTCTATTGGGTATATGGGTCTCGTTGAATTTGAAATCTTTTTGGAATCATAAAATCATATAGAATGTCAGAATTTGTGAACATTTTTTTTCTACACTTGTAAAATCCTTAGGCAAATCAGTCAATTAATTGCGCTTGCCTGCATCTGAAAACTGAGTGACCTAGGCGTCGGGCAAGTGGACTTTTACACCCCTGCACCAGATGTGAAGAGCGGCAAAACGCACAGTCAGACCAGCATTCGAACCCGGGACCCTTTGAACTCTTTGACGGGTCACTCAGCTGTACCCGAATTGAGCAACTTAACGATGGTACAGTCCATTTCCGCTACACATGTATAGGCTTACCATCCCTACCACGTGCAAGTACTGACACAGATAAAACAATCCTTTACGGGTTGTTGTGCCACTCTGAACTCTAGACGGGCGCTCTCCCATTGATTGAGCAACCAGCTGGACAATGGACACAATTTCCGCTACACGTGTACAGCCCTACCACTGACACAGATAAATCACCCCTATACAGGATGTTGTACCACTTTAACATGTAAATTCATAATAACAGGAAAGAGACATTTACAGACACTTGAATTTGATGATTTTGAAGCTCACATTTTTGCACAAAAAGTGTTGACATTAATTTTATATAAGAAATCAACCCCTGTGATTCAGAATACCAACGCATATATTTTCGAAACATCTCATTGGATAACTTAGTTAAACATATGCGAAATATCATTCACATTAACACAGACGAGTGTCCTGTTTTTTAACCCGACAATCGCGGATCGACACCGCCCACGCAACAAAACTTGACGTACACTACACAATAGGTTTGGCTATCTTCTTATATAATTCGCCTGAAGGATCAGAAATGTCTTTTGCATGTATAGTTTTTCATGTCCTGGTCATAATCTAACGTAACTACCAACAAATATGAATAATACAATTCGTTACCTGTGTTTCCGAAATTCTACCAAAACTTAGAAACAGGTGCCTGTGTATAACGCAATGAAATAGTGCGTATTTGATGTTCGGCACACTTTATTTTCATACTTATCATGTAATATTACCTAAACATAAGAGAGACTCCGAACACGAATTCCTCAAAACCTCCGACGTATTTCACATCTGTAAAGCGGAAGTAAAAATTGAGGAATCGTCCCAAACTTGATGGGGAAAGAAATACCAGAAATATTAATATAATTTGGCCATGAAGAGTGAGCCCACGTTTTGATTGTGAGTATATGTCGAAACCAAGAAACAGTTTTAAATGCCATAATGAAAGCACCATGTTAGCATCAATTACACAACCAATATATGCTCTGGCCGGGTAGTTGCAAGTGCAGTGGAATGGCAATTGTGGGGGCGGGGTTGGTTTGGGGGGTTAATTAAAACTACCAGGCGGAGCTTAATTTGATGGCTTTATATTCTGGATTAACTGACATGGGTACTAGTTATGAGATCGCATTTTAGACTTGGAAAGCAATGAATCACTCGTGTTGTTAGCATGTTCAGTGTGGTGTATAAAGCCCTGACAAACTTCAAAATGCTTTGATATGTTCTGCTATTTTGCGATAAAACATTGGTTTTTTTTTTAATTAAATGTAAGTCCCAATGACATTACACTTAGGTGGCCTTATCAGTAAACTTTTGTAGCCAAAGTTTAAGGAAATGTCAAAGTGAAAGTAACAAGAGGCACATTTGATTTGGAAAAGTACACCAATGGATTTTCTGTCAAATCAGAGAATCATATATTTGTACAGGTATCAGGTCATTTGGCCCTAAATCTTGTTCGCCTCGTATTCCGTCTTTTCGTATTGCAGAGTTATCTGCTCTTTTGAGATTATAATAGGGCGAAACAACCTTGGACGAACTGGATTTAGGGCGAAACGACCCAGATCCTTCTGTACACCTATCTGTTGTTAATTTAACTTCATCTTCAAAATCAAGAATTTAATTTTATAAATGCCACATCTCCTAGAACCTGCACTATTTGAGGGGCGGGGTATACACAAGATAACATAAGCACCATATGCCACCACATACCTCTTTAACAGAACGAGACTCACTCACTCAGGGTTGATCGTCGCCAACCAGTTAATTAGCTTCCATCAAGAGTTTGGAGGGTCGCGGGTTCGAATTTCGGTCTGGCCGTTGCACCGTTGTTGTGTTAAGATGACATCAAACGTTTTTTATATATATACATCGCCAGAGAAATATATTATTTTTTTATTCAAAGTTTTCGGGTTTGAATTACATTTCAGGATTATACCGTGATGACATCACAGAGTTGTTTCTATGCTCTGCCATCACGATCAATACCCGACAGGTATGACAAACATTAATAAGAAATATCATCATTCAGCTAGTTCTACTTATGCTTTTAATGTTTTTGGTGTCTAAGTTTCATGGTTTTGGGCATTTTTATTTTCAAATTTTATTTTGAAATACAGCTCCTCTCTACTAGGGTATAGTAGAGCGATAGTATAATGAGAAGCTGTATTTCAATCAGATTGGTAACAGAAGGTTTGCAACAAAATGTTTTGCAGGGTTTATTTTTCTCAAAATTCATGGCATTAAAGGTGGGTTCCAGCAAATTTTCAGCAACATTTGTATATAAATATAGATATATACAAAGCATTCAATTAAATAATTTCCCGTATAAAAAAATGGTTAAGTTTTCAATAATACCACAAGCGGTTGAAATTGCCAGAATAAATCATGAATAACGCCTATTTTGTTTATTGGATGCAGTAGTTGCTTCAACTGGTTGAACCAAAAAGGAAATAACACACGCACCAGGAACCCTGGTAATTTAGGACATTCAGAATTTTAGATCTACCTTCTAGGGGCCGTAGCAGTGCCAGCTTGGGAGTAACTAAACAAATAGCTGCGGGAACTGTAGCTTCTAGGCCTGATTTTTTTTTTCCCATCGTTATGGTCCGATAACAATAAAAAATGAATTAAAAAATATCGGGCCTAGAAGCTACGGTTCCGGCAGCTACTAAACAATACACTATGTATTGCTAGTTAACAGTGTCTCTACATTAAAAAGGCTAATTAGGGGCTGCAGTGGCTGAGTGGTTAAGGCATCTGACTGTCTACGACCCAGGGAGCCCTCCACCACTGGGTTGCTGTTGCTAGTGGAGCAGTCGCCATGTATTGGCCGCGGTGGTCAGTGGTTTTTCTCAGGGTACTTAATTAACCTTAACTCATTCATCCCTGAAAACACATTTGAACTCTTCCAATTCAAAGGTTGGAAAAGTTTATTATAAAATTTCAGGGGTGAATGAGTTAAATGACCATATATATAGCTGTTACTGGGACATAAAGCACAAACAGATCAAACCAAACAAGGGCAATTAAGAATTAATGTATAATTATCACATATTTCTGGTAATTTTATCAAATTTTGTAAATGTGAGAAAGTAAATCCCACACGCAATTTGCTTAGTTGATTGCTACATGATAAATTATCAGAAAGTTTCAAAGTTGTGCTTTTTGGGCTCTACCTATCAGGCTGGTCATACGAGTAATAAACTTGCGGTATGGTAATATATCTTGTGACTTAAAGATGTCGAGCGGGACGATTGAGAGGCGTGGATAATATTTTTTTCTTCTTACATATCTTGATACTTTCTTACAAACTTGCTTAAGTATCTTCCTTGAATATTACTCTAGTCTATAGGTTTGCATAATCTGATTATGCAAACCTATAGACTAGAGTAATAAGTACTAAGTACTACGTAATAAGTACTAAGTAATAAGTACTTTTGAAGTACTTGCAATGGAAACACATGTTTTTGTTTACGCTTGGGTTAATTTTTGTGTACTTTGTCCAATTTCGTCAGTTTCTTCGTCTATATATTGTCACACACATGTAGCTGTCACAGGACATAATTGCTTATCACAACATTCTGTAATTTGTTTTTGACACATGCATTAGGTAACACGTGCACAGGTGACTAGGGGATCGAGCACGTGGAATTGCACATTTGACACTAATGCCATCTGTGACCTTATATGGTCCCTCTGCCCTTATATGGAATCTGATAATCTCCTTATATAGAAACACATTAATTATTTTCATTCATATGTAAATCATTTTTCCGCGACGTCTGGCGGTTTCTGATAACATTTCATCCACTAAGTAGCGACGCCATTTTGTGGTTATAGCCAACGAATAGGCAGAGAATTAAAGCATTCACTTCAATACTTTCTTATTAAACACTGGTAGTTAAATTGTCATGCAACAACATGTAAATAAGCTAAAATCTTGTTTAATAATTTGTGTGGTGTCAAATTTCTGAAATCTATCTTGCTTTTAAAAAAACAAATTTGTAATGACGTGCGATTTTGAGTAATGCATTCAGCGGTGATAACTAAATTATCATGAATTGACACTTCCAGTTACATAATCATGAAAACTGCAGAATTATATACTACACAGAGATTATACATCTCCGTGCTGTGTTATAATATCAATATAATGTGATGTAAAGAGTGACATGTATACAAAAATGTTGGAAGTTCCAAATTTGATGGGGGCGGGAGAATATTTATGCTCCAATAAATAAACTACTACACGTATCACTATCTGCATCAAATACAAATTTATTTACACTAGGAAGGAAGAAGTTTTAATTGCAACTGTAAACTTCCCTGTTGTTTCGTCCAATACCAGAGATCTATATTAAACAGCAATGTCCGGGTGATGTGTGGTTGCATATGTTCTTTAACTTGCGTTAATATATCAAATTTCCCTGTGCAGTGATAACTCCAGAACTGTCTTTATAAGTTCAGCCATGTATCCCCCGAACATGAATGTACAGTATATCGGTCACTCAGATTGTGGATGATGAAAGGGTTTCCATCTATCATAACCTAGTAATATAAGCTTTAAGGCCAAACAAAGAAATATTTGGTGTTTCGGGTAACCCTCAGCTACCCTTATTGTTTGTGCCTTCCCTGAACTTTTTAAGGCAATTTTCAAAGAAGCACTGTTAAAGTCAGGATCACTCTCCTATATTTACCATATAAAATTATTTTCAAAAATAAAACTTGTTCTGTTAAAATCAAGATCACTTTCCTATATATAAACCATATAAAATTATTTTCAAAAATAAAACTTGTTCTGTTAAAGTCAAGATCACTCTCCTATATAAACCATATAAAATTATTTCTAAAATTAAAACTTGTTCTTTTAAAGTCAAGATCACTCTCCTATATAAACCATATAAAATTATTTTTGAAATAAAATGTGTTACCTACCTTCTCTAAATTTGTCCAACACATGTTACAGGAAACACATTTAATATTTTGTCTGGCCTCAGCTTTTCCTAAAACGACATATTCTCCGAATTTCTTATTCTCATTTCAAGTACCAGTCGAGGAGCAGAACATACTTATCCCAATAGTATATCTGATTTCGTCTCCAGTTTGGCCGAGGTTAATGTTTATCCCTGTCATATATATACTTGTTACAGTCAAGTGCTTTAATTTTCGCTTGTATCAGAATTTTGTGTTTTCATATATATATATATACATACATGTACGTACCTAGAGCAGAATTCGCGCTACATGATTCACCTGTGTCAGTGTTCATATCCTCGACAGACAACACTATACTGGTAAAGTTTCCTAATTTCATGTGTTTGATGTTGCTTGCTTGAAATTGAGTTTAATTAGGTATTGTTTTTACTACTAAGATGTTAATAGAAACAATATTTCCTATAAAATCGAAGCAAATATACTTACTAAATAGAACACCACTGGTAACATTACTAAAAATACTGATAACATCACATTTAATATTATTGTAGACCGCTACTACTTTACTCTACAGCTGTCAATATGGTACAGATATATGCCGATTTAAATATGTTTCTTTTTTATACATTACTCTCTAGTTTGAACTATATCATCATTAATGTTACATCTTCCATGATATCTTGTAATTTCTGCTTCGTTTATACTTTTAAGAATGGAAAAATTAGCAAAACATCAACAAATTATTCGATCAACATTAGTGCATAACGAACCTACATCTATTCTTGTTGTATTTTTAATATTATCCAAACAACTTTCATTTTTCACAAGTTATCTCAAGAATATTTTATCTGAAAGTAAGTAAAAAATTGTGGCTAACAATAGTATAAATACGCTCACCTGCTGATCATTACATCGGTCATGTTACTACGTTGCAAGATATATTACGATACCGCAAGGTTTTTTTCTTGTATGACCAGCGTGCCTTTACATTGTAAGGTCAGAAAATTGCATTCAAGAGTGTGTTTTTTTAGGATACTTACCAGGGGAAAGTAGATACTTAATTAATCCACTTGTCAGAAATGAAATTCTGCTAGCCTGACAACTACAAAATAGACCAAGCTGACAACGTGATCACATGATCTACATTGTATATCACATTCAAAGATGGATGTGTTTTCTTCAAAATAAAACATGTTAATTTTATATTATTCCTGAATAACTCAATTATAATGCCTTTAAAAATATTGAATCTTGAACAAAAAAATAACAAAAAATAACATTTTTTTTAACAATAAGAACATTAATAAGCTGTTGTAAAATGCAATGATGCAATTTATTTGATTGTATTATTAACATGACAATGTTTAGTCATGTATGTATATATATAGTCGGTAAGAATATACCAGTTAAGTAAAATCTGGAACCCTTTATTTGAAAGTATATATACCTGTCAGGCTGTCTAATTAGAACATGAAGATAGATCTACTATATTTACAGTAAGCCCATGACGTTGGATACCCATGGCTGATTTCGAAATCAGCCATGGGTATCCAACGATGCAACTAGCGTAATGATAAAAAAAAATCCCATGATTTCCATCTATCAGGATGGGATTTCTAAGCATATTTAAAACATTGAGATTGTTTCGTGTAAAATATTCAATGCAGTATAATTGTGATAATGCTAAAAGAAATATTGAAAATCTGCAATAATTCATCTTTATTGCGGGGGATCAATTTACTTGTTTAGTACTTTTCTGAGGCCAAAAACATTAAAATCAATATTTCCTCTTACCCCGGTACCTCAGCTGCGTTACACTAACATTGACACTAACATTGACACTCTATCACTAGCTACCACGCTGCACCGCATTGCCCCCCCGACACATGCCTTGTGCAATCCCACACCCAGTATTCCGTCTTTTCGTATTGCAGAGTTATCTGCTCTTGAGAGCAGGTATTGATTGTTACGTCATTTGTTTGTGAGAGTAACGTCATCATCATTTTTTGAGAAAATGACGTAATTTTCTCACACAATCCAAAGACGTAACAATCAATA